TAGCTCATCATCCCTACTAGAAAAATTACCTCCACAGAACACACACACACACATTCACGTCGTCGTTGTGTGGCGGGATGAGGTGGGATTATGTCTGGGCATTTCGGGAATTCTCTAAAGCAAACATCAGTTGGGGGAAGAAGGGAGTTAGTGAGACGAAATCCTCCCCACGGCCGAGATGAACCAAAACAAACTTCGCGCGAAGACCATAAACACGTGAGGGTGGCCCGAGGATTTTCCCACACCCACGCCACAACCTTTCTTGTTTTCCACCCCAGTAATCAATGTGGGGGCGGTGACGCACGCCAGCTGGGGACCCCCATCACTGTCTGCCGCTGCTGCTGCTTTAATTCCTGTCGATGGTATTGAAGGCGTGGTTGTTTTTGTGTTAAGTAGCGCTGCTGATGGTAGCTTGGCTGTGTTGGTGTTAATGGGGCTGTCGCTGGCGAGGGGAAATTTACTGCCTCATAGCCGCTAATGTTTTTTGCTGCTGCATCTAGGATTTTCAGTTACGGGTTGTGCTGCTTTGATTAACTTTGTTGCTGTTAGCGTTACTCTTGCTGCTACCGCTGCTGTTAGAGCTGGTTGGAGTACCATTTCCGGTAATACCTTGCTTATGTTGCTGCAAGTAGTGGTGGTGTTGCATCTGCTGTGGCTGTTTCTGCTGGTGGTGCTCGTTCTCTTACCCTTATTAACTCTGCTATCCCTGTTTCTGACGCTTGTAGTGATGGTGATGCTGTCGTTTCTATCATTAGTAGGATACTGATGCTGTTGACAACGTTGGTGCTGATGTTGGTAGAGGCATTGCTGATAGATACGTCGCTGCAATTTTTGTTGGCAGTTCTGTTGCTGTTTTCTCCTGTTTGCGTGACTGGTACTGTTCCTCTTTCTTCTTTCAGCGTTTCTGTTGTTGCCTGATAGAACGTTGACCATGTGAGCACCATGGCAGGCACTCCACATTGTTTTGTAAGTGCGTCTTTACATTCACTTCAGCGACCTGGTAAATTCCGGTGACGTTTCTTATAAAATACAGTGACTCCAAAGCTGTTTCTTGTATCTCATCAAAAAGGATATTTTTTTTTTGCCCAAACTTATTTATCACTGCAAATTGTACACGTATCTCTAAGGCTTCACCCTTTCAATAGTATTCCGTTACAAAAACCGGCTTGTCAAGAAGATAGCAATATTGGTGCAAGAATTAAAATCCTTTGCAACAAAGTAATAAATCGAGAACTAATGCAGTAAAGGACTTTGCAACAGTTGGGGATAGGCCATTCTAGCCCCTTATTCGGTGAAATAAACTATCTTTCAGAATGTGTACTGAATACTGCATTCATGTTCGTTTCGTGATCTCATTTTTAAAATTGCAAAGGCATTGTTGCGCGATTCAAAAGACGAATAATCACTCATATGTTATTTTTACTGCCAGTAGGCTATACAGTGCAAATCTTCAAATACAGAACTGTATACAACATTAATCATTATACTGTAGTCTATAAAATCTAGGCTGCTCGGTTGCAGAAACGCTTAGGAATGACAAGACGTGTTTTTATAGTATCAGGCTCCAGCAGTACAGCCAACACACGCGATGGAACTCTGTGCAGCATGTCGTAAAGTGAGAGTGAAATCGCGTCACGCACACCAAACTTATGTTGAGGTCTGCCCGGGTACAGCGCAGTGGGCTGGGGGCGAGGCTTGTTTAGACTAGAGTGGAGTGGATCCTGGCGCCGAGGATGGCCAGTGATCGTGATGGTATAAATGTATGTTGCTGATAGTTTGTAAGTTAATGGTAGTTTGCGTGATATTCTTAATGATGTGGTTGATTTGGGCGATTGCGAATGAAAGCTGAATCGCATTAGTAATTTCAAATATAATTTACACAATATTTCAACGTTTCGTGACAATTTTAATATCGTTGAATAATAATGTTATTGAGATAGGTAATCTGGATGTATGATGTTGGTACTTTGTATGTTAGTCATAGCCTGTCAAATTATTGAAGTTAGGAGGCTGTTCACATATTACACGATGTACAGGATGGCGCTGCATTCAATATGTAACTCCTTAGTACAGTCAGAACTAGAACTGATCACTGTAAAATGCTGTTCCAGTAGATGAATTGAAAGTTACTGACCGACTGTTACCCACAACAATATATCAATCCATCATCCGCGCCATAATACAGCTCCCTGCAGTCACCCGGCTCAGGTGGTGTCTGTGTCTGATGAGGCGACGATGGTGTTTAACTTTAGATATGTGGTAAATAAGGTCACTCTATTGCTCTGTGGACCTTGGGTGGATCTTTGGATATTGAACTGTTAAATGCAGCACCGAGACATGATGCAGTATAAAGTTGGCTCGTTAAACTTGAAACTGTACCCGACAGATGATAATGATAATTTAGTGAGCATAATTAAAAAAAAAAGTCTTCATTTGATTAATTTCAATCCAAGCTTCAGAGCCAAGAGGACTGTAGCCCAGTGTGCCGCCGCCTTTAAGCTTATATTCGGCGCCCAACACCTAGACCAAATTGTAATGTAAACTGTGTCTTGATTGTCTTAAATACACAAAATTTTAGGCTTATTTAAACGACATACGTACATATATGCCCATGTATGGGTGTATACACGGGTACGTACAAAGCAAAGAATAAAATCGAAGCGACCCGGCTCCTTGTGCCTGGTTGATTGATTCAAAGGGGGCTATGGAAGATGCACGCCCGCCCTATTTTCTTGTCAAAACTAATTTTACCCTAATGGAGTTTTGTTATATTGGTTCTTTTTGTACCTCTATGTTATGGGGACCTAGATAGGGGCTATCTAGGTCCCCATAACTTAGAGGTGCCAACAACCCCTCCGCCAGGCTAATTAACAGGCCTCAGGTTCTTCGGCTATGTGCACTTAAAAAATTGCGCCTCCCTCACTCCCTTCCCTCCTCTGTTAATTTGAAGACGTGGAACCTTCCCAGAGAATGGCTACCCGCCGACAGAGGGAATTAATGTGCACTGTTGTGTACATGAAAAATGCAAGTGAAAGGTGGAGTGGCCTGTCGAGGATGATGTAGACGTGGAGGAGCTACAAGTGTCATTTATCTCATCACAGTGCAGTGGAGCACCGCTGTAATACACCCACACTCACTTATCTTCAGATGACACTTATAGCCCCTCAGTATTTTATAAACGCAATGCAGCTGTGTTATTGTGTAGTCGAATTTCATGATGGCTTACCTAATGTACAGTATACACATGGCAGTATTTTATGTATTTCGATCATATCATGGCTGTGTTGGTAGTCTGTGGTGCAGCCATTACGGGGAATAATTCACTTCTGTTTGTACTTTTATTTTGTCGTGGAAAGGGAGAGCGGGAGGAAAGCTGCTTAAGTATTTAGTTACTGAAGGTTTCAAGCCGAGAGTCAAGAGACGTTACAACGGGTTGTGCTGATCAAAAATTGCCTGAAGCGTTATGTTATGACAATGAAAAGAAAATATAAATGGGATCACCTGAAGAATCATCGCCCCAGCTTATTTCACCTGAAGATTAACTACCTTAATGCTAACTTAACCTAACCTTAACCTGTTCTATCCTAACCTAAATCTAACCTAACATATCCTAATCTAACCTCATCCTCCCAAAATAGTTTTAGGGTGGTTTAATCTTTAGGTGAAATAAGCTGGGGCCATGATTCTTCAGGTGATCCTATAAATGATTAGTCTTTAAAATATGAGTGTTAACAAAGCATGTTGATGACGTGATGTTTGACGAGTACAGGTACTTGAACGGTGTCTACTGTACGCAGTAAACTCTCCGGACTTATCAACCCTTATTTCACTGGCTGGCACAAAGGGTCAGTTTACTGCCTGCGTGACCTTTAAACATTTGACCTAAAAACAACAATGCAGCCATGTCCTTCCTACGTTACATTATGCAGGGACCGCTTCACCTGCCTCACATGCTGGAGGTTGACATGGCCAGCAACTTGATACAGATATAGTATTAGATATTCGCACTTGACGGTTGACCCTTCAGTCCTTCGCTCTGCCATTGGTCCTATATTAAGCGTATTCCTTTACTGGTCTGACGAGGACGCCAGAATATCTTAACATCAGTTACTTAGATGCATTTCTTATAACTGACAAAATTTCGTATTATTAACTCAGCCACAGGCATCACCTTCAAGGTAGAATCACATGATAACTCATGGTTGCCAATTTTGGCACTACAGTATCAGAGTTGTATTACCCTGAAGTTCTAGTTTCAGGGACATTAGAAAATATATATATATATATATATATATATATATATATATATATATATATATATATATATATATATATATATATATATATATATATATATATATGTATGTATGGAGAATTTGTCCAAAATCTTAACACGATCTGTTAAAACGTAGTTTGTTTATTGGGGTAGAATGTCACGGGTGTCAGAGGAACTGACACCTTGAGCTATTAACAAACTTTGCTTTGTACATTTTTTTTGCTAAGAATTTAAAAAATCTTTTTAAAATGTTTGTACAAGTAGCAACATTGGTTGTTTTATAATATATATAGGAGAGTATTTCGAACCATTACATTTATCTTCACCCTATCTCTTGTCATTTTAATAAACTTATCTAGTATATTTATGTTGTCAGTTTTGGAGGAGACCGCGACGCCGACAGCAACCATATAAATTAGGGAAACCATATCTCCTTGGTTGGTTAAGTCTGTCAAGATACTATACTGTACTGTATATGTATGCTGCTGACATTGCCAAATTGTAGCTGTGAGACCACGAAGTGCCTTCATCGCTAGCTTAACGCATCGTGGTTAATGATAGTCAAAACAATCACCTGAAATTAAATAAGTTTAATTTACAAATAATAAGAACCTCAACAGAGACTATGAAGAAGGACAACGGAAGAACAAAACTTGAGGATGAGGTGACAGCAGGACACCCAATCAGGCCACCATCGCCCGCTTAACACTTCTGTTCTCCGCAGCTTGAGTGACATCAGCAATGCCCGCGCCATCTAGCCTCCGCGGGCAAGTGTTGTCGGCGGCAGAGGTATCTCCCCCGGAGGAGTATTTCCGTGGGGTATCACCGCTATGTCGTCGCATGCTGGACGACATGACAGCCGTGCGGGAAGCCTACGGCGATCGCTGGTATGGCCTCTCCTACCAGCAACAGTGCCGCGTCATCGACCAGGCCATAGTAGATGAGGTGGGCACCCACTACCAGCACCTCGGTGCCATTCTCCTGGATTACTGATTTTAGAAGTATTATGATTGATTCCAGCTTCAGTTCATGAAATATAAAGAGCTATATAAGTTAAGATTTGGAATTTACTGATACTTCAGAAATGTGGTGCACGCCACCACACTACTGTTGTAGACCTCTTACTCTACCAGTGGACCCACCCCTCAAGTGTGTCTGTGACTCCTACCCAGCTGTACTTCTACTCTCAAGAACCTCACGACTGCGTGAAATTTATTCACTTTATTTTGATCAGTTTGTCAGATATCCTTGCCATTATATAATTTGTTCTCTCAAACACATGTTCACTTTTATGAACCAGTAACACTTCTGTAAATCTTGAACATAACTGTCTTTTTGTTTGTTGGGAGGATATCGATTGTCTTTCCTTTTTTTAGCGTTTTGTATTTCCTCTCTCTCCAGGGTAGTCAGTAAACACTTCCAGATGAATTTCTTAAACAAAATGTTGTATTCTTTTCCAAACAAAAAATATAATTTTCACTTCCTCATTCCACCTCGCTACTTCGTCTTGCCCTAATTTGTCTACTCTACATCACACATATTGTACTTGCTGCAACATGTAGCTTCAGCCAGTACAAAAGAAACATCACCTCTGCACGGGTTGCATGTACCAATGAGTTGTAATTTTCTTGACACAATCGACAAATCAACTTCAAAACATGTCACGTGGAGAGAGCTGTCTACTGTGTCCACCCAGCTGAAGCCAACACAAGGAACAGTCGTTGGGTGACTGTAAGGTTAAGGTTAACACAAGTGTTGTGTCGTCTTACTAACCGGTGATTTTTTTAGGTTGTATTTTTGCAGGATTATACTTGTATATGTATTTATTTTACATGTGTTTATGTTTTGTGTGTGTCCATACCTCTCATCCAAGTAAGTACACACACCAACAACTAGCGATTGTACATAAACTGTGTTCAAGGAAAATCATGATGATTCCTTGAAAATAATGTCTGCCTCTGGTATGATCTTCACTGTCACTCAGACAAGCTTGCAAGGTGTGACACTGCCAGGTTTTAAGACCAACTAGAAGTAAAATACAGTACAGTACAGTGGTCCCTCGGTTAACGAACACAATTCATTCCACAGTCATTCATTAACCAAAAATTTCATAAACCGAATCCATTGTTTCAATGGGATATTGGGTAATTGGTTCCAGCTCACAGAAAAGTACATACAAAGTAAAAAAAAATGCAGTAAAGTACACTTACTTTGAGGTGTGTATGTAGAAGGTTCCTGGTTGATGATGATGATGGGAATTAGAAGTGGGGGTGGAGAAGAAGGGAAAAATGAAGGAAGTGGGGATGGTGGAGAAATCACCTTTCAGTGGACCCATGCTTGATTTTTTTTTTTTTAAATTAGCCCACCCGGGCACAGGTCAAACGACCCACAACGGAGCCCCCAACGAAATAAAAACGAATGGAAAGAAATTGAAAATATAGAAAAAAAGGTTATATTGTATTAATCTACACCACGAAGATGCCGGAAAACCAGCTTTTTAAAGTGAGACATTGCAAGAGCAAGGAAACACAGAAGAAGGCAGAGCATTCCACAGTTTGGCTGTGTGAGGAAAGAAGGAGGTACTATAACGGGTTATTCTTGTGTGACCGACATCGCAGTAATTTCACCAGTAAAATTTTATTTCACTAGGTGTAATTCAAGATTATTTTATTTAAATCAACACTGCACTACGCTATATATTATCAATATGTTAACTAAATTTCAGTATGACCAATAATTTTAATGTAAAAATGCAAAAATATTCAAGACACCAACAAAATCGATGTTCACTCCACTGTAAACAAAGCCAAACTAATGCCTGGTTGGTGAGTCAAGTGGCTGATGGGCACACAAAAAACTAGTTCCCTGTACTGCATATATTATCAATATGTTAACTAAATTTTAAAATGACTAATAATTTTAATATAAAAAATGCAAAAATATTAAAGAACACAACTTTCTTGATATTTACTCCACTGGAAACGAATGTAAACATAGAACAGATTACTGAATTGGCAGACTAGCCCATCAGTTAATCAGCTGATGCTCACAACAAAACGTGTTGTTTGTAAGGATTTCGTTAATCGAAGTTTTGTTCGTTAACCGAATTGAATATCCTTATGGGAAGTAATTCGTTAACCGAAATTTCATTAATCGAACCGTTCGTTAACCGAGGGTCCATTGTACTATATACCAAATATACTTACAATAGGTTTGAACATGCTGCTAAAGTTGTTACCTTATACCTTTTGATAATAATAATTAAGAATAATGAGAAATACAGGTTGACAACCCTTTATCCGAAATTCCGAAAACCGAAAAGCTCTGAAAACCAAAAGTTTTTTTTGTGGGGCAATTTTTTTTTTTTTTTTTTTTTTTTTAAACAGGGATTAGCCCACCCGAGCATAGATCACTGACCCACATCAAGGCCTGGGGGGCGAAAATGTAATAGTAATAATAATTATAATAATGATAATTATTCTTAGTAATAAAAATGTTAATAAAAATACACCAAAATAAAATATAACATTAATAATAACAATAATAATAAAATATAATAAAATTAATAAAAATAACAATATAGGAGTACTGTAATAATAAAATAATAATAATAATAAAGAAATACAAGAATGAAAAAAAGATAAAAAATGAGAAACACGACCTAGACCTATGAATTATTATTATTAGTAGTATAATTTTCATTATATTTTTGCCCCCCAGGTCCTGATGTGGGTCTTTGATCTATGCCCGGGTGGGCTAATACACATTTAATAAAAAAAATAAATAAGAAAAATAAAAAAAATTCTGAAAACCGAAAAATTCGGAAATCCGAAATGCCTCTGGCCCCAAGGATTTCGGATAAGGGATTGTCAACCTGTAATAATAACTGAAACATGATAGAGATAAGATATCCCCTGAAAAGCTTTTATTCATAATTGTAAGATCACAACTTGTCATATTGATCCTACAGAATATACTACTTTAAACATAATTTCTTCTGTAATAATGGATAATTTACCGAGTAATAAAACTCATATATAATAAAAATTAACCTTAGTGTCGCATAAATAAACTCAGAATACACTGTAATATTACCAGGTTTCATTTCATCATTACATACTGTACTGAAACTTGTTTGTTCTTCACTTATCCCCCCACCCCCATCCCTGGCAGGCAACAGTGCGACGGTACGAGGTGGGAGGCGGTGAAGGCCCTGACTGTGAGTACTTCCCCAAGCTGAAGCTGCCCACGGGTCAGAAGGTGGTGTGCGACGAGAACCTCACCGCCAGGGGCTTTGTGAGTACACCACGTAAGATGGCTAAGGGGAGCTGGGAGGGAAGGAAGGGAAGGAGGAAAAGGGATTATGAAATGTAAAACAAGGGAGGGAGTGAAGGAAAGGAGTAAAGGGTACAGAGACAGGTGAACGTCTCACCAAATTTATGAAATTCTCATTTGTTAAATGTGCAAAAACAGAGACGGTGACAAGGGTAAAACACAACTGTCAGACGTAAAGAAAATAAAGTGATGATGTGCTTTCAGGCAAGTTTATGGCAATTAATTAATTTTTATTATTTAATTAATCTGTCGTTATCAATCTTTCCATTTAGGATCTACATCTAGCTTTGGGACAGTAGTTTTAGCTGACACACACATATTGGAAAGGCAAGCGTTAAGAAATCTCGGTATTCAATTGCTACAACAGCGATGAATATTCTGCACATCACACAGATCCTCTTTAATTTCTTTTCACTGGATGAAATTTATTGTAGTATTTGGTAGAATAAGTGAATGAGTGGGACATGTTGTGTCATGCTTTTATCTTTTCAGATTTGTCTATGAAATTTTAAAGATTAGTCTCTAGATAAAGGTTTTTCAGTAAATAGACTTAGTGTTAAAGAAGCCTGGTTGTCTGTTTAACTGCTACCATATGTGATTCTTCTATGGTAGCAGCCATCTTGATCATAACCAACACACACAGCTATGAAATAAGGTGAAATGCCACTTTTTCCCTAGATATAAACTTCATCTTGACTCTTCTTTGACAGTCTTGCAGCTGGCGGGACGAGCACTCTGCACCCTTCTCCTGGCACACTCGCTCTCAGATGGACCTCACCTTGGATACACCCCCCGCTACGCCTTCACATCCAAGCACCCCAGTTGAGCCCCCACCTACCAGCATAGCAGGTGAAGGTCGGGTCATACCAGGTGGAAGAGCTGTGTACACAGCAAGGCCACTCTCTTTACCACGACCACCACGTTTTCGATGGCACTATGATCCCCCAGATGACCCTCCAGACCCTCCGTCTGTAGTTGTCTCAGCCCCACGGTCTGCCACACTGCCAACAGATCTTAACTGTGGGCCTAAACGATCACCAACTTCATTGAAGTACATGTTGGTTCGCGGCAAGGGTGAGGATGGTGAGGGCACTGGTTTATTGGCACGTATTCGAGGCGCTGTGGTAGCTCTCACTGCTACTTGCTTACCACTGCGTGCTCCCCAGGGCCAGACATCACATCTTTCACTTCATCGTGCACCTGACAGTGGAGGCGAACCTGATCTGCGACCTCCCCATGTTCAGGCTCAGAAGGCACAAGTCATGCAGAATCAAGCAGATGACCCAGCTTATGACACAACCCAACAAATCACTGGAGGCAGCCATATCCCAGATGAATGCAAAATTGAAGAAGGTGGCAGCCATGCGCTCCCTTCACTTTCAGCACTCTCTACTGACCCTACTCTTGCGGGCTATGTCTGTTCACTCCCTGATGACGATGATGATGCCCCCTACACAGCCGCTTACCCTCCTGAGGCAACACGTGAGCCAGCTGCAGCACACAACACGACACCTAACACACTTACACCTGTGGAGAACCAGCCAAAGGTAGGCACAACACCCTATATCCCTCCACCTGTCGACCTGCCCACCCCCCTGCCCACACCAACTATCAGTGATACGACCAAGACTGTCAGCACCACTTTCTTGCACCCTGCCGCTCCGTCTCCCCGCCTACCGCCCTCACAACCCCCCAACATTCATGATGACGCCCTCAGCGCCTTCTCAGAGCCTGACTCCACAACAGATGCTCTGGACACTCCAAGGGAGGAACAACCTCTGCTCCGAAGGGAAAAACGTCTGGAGTCTGAGGAAGAGTCCAACCTGTTGTATACCTCAGTGTTATCATCTAAGAGAGAGGTGAGATAAAACTTCCATCTTTCACTATCACATTTCTGATTATGGTGCTTATTTCAGAGTACAGTCAACCCTCACTTTACGCGGTTAATGTAACCCGCAGGGTCCCGCGGAAAGTGAGGAACGTGTAAAGTGAATAACATAACATATGGGATTAATTGAAATAGAGTCCGGGCCGACCCCCAAACTCCACTTTTTGACGACACACAACTTTGTTGTAGTAAAAATTTTATCTTTACTTTATGATGGTATGAAAAAACAAGTAATATAGAAGAGGTTAGGTTAGGAAAAATAAAGGTTAACATAGGAAAAATAAAAGTTAGGTTAGGAAAACTAAAAGTTATGTGGAACACTTACGTTAGTAGAAGAGATGGGTCGGCATACGGGGATGGAGGCTGGTTCCGAGGCAGAGGACAGATTACTGGCCCTCAGGTGAATCACCATCACTGTCACTTACAGTTGTCAGGGCTTCCCTGACAAATCCCTCAAAGTCATCTTCACTGTCACTATCACTGGCTTGGGTTGGCTGTGGTGGGTTGCGGGCGAAGAAATCTGTTATGCTTTGCTGACGGCTGGTGTTGATGTTGATGTGATACACCTTGATGTAGGGATCCATAGTCTGCAACAGCTGGGTAGTGAAGATTTCATACCTGTTTGCGTCAGGGTCGTCGGAAAGGAGGAGCTTGGCTTTCTCGATACACTCGATGGCACCCCTAACATTACTATGGGATAAGTGTTGTTCTTCTTGGGATGACGCACCACCTGCCTCTTCACTGACGTCGTCATCATCATCATCTCCTAGGTAGTCACATCAGGTTCCATTATCACCTCCAGGATGTCGTCGTTGGTGGTCTCGGAGAAGCCTGGAACTGTAACAGTCTGCGCAGCTTCTCTGGCAAGGTCCACTGCTACTGCAACAGTCTGAACCTCACCAGTCACAGATTGACTCCTCCTCTCACCTGGTATTCCATGCAACACATGTCTCCATGCGTGACGAATTGTAGCAATAGACAGCTGATCCCATGACTCCACCAAGAAGTCCACAGCTTTCTTGATGTTAAATACTCTCCAGAATTGTTTGAACAGTATTTTTTGCTGTGCCAACTGTTGATCCTCATCTTCTTCGCTCTTGCTATCGGTGGTGGTGTCACTCAGGTTGCGCAACTCTTCCCTGGTGTTGGTGTAGTCGTTCAGGAGTTTGAATTTTTTCGTAGAGAATGCAGCTTTTACATTACAGATTAACTCTTGGTCCATGGGCTGTAATATAGATGTAGTGTTGGGAGGAAGGAAGACCACTTTTACATTGGGGTGACGATCTAACAGTAGGGGCGAGTGTCCTGGTGCGTTGTCCAGCAGCAACAAAATCTTGAATAGCACATTCTGTTGCTCACAGAATTTCTTTACATCGGGAACAAAACAGCCATCAAACCAGGAGAGGGACAGTGTAGAGAACATCCACGCCTTATGTGCGGTCAGCCAGTGGACATTTAGCTTGGTCATGTCCATGGTTTTGTAGGCGTGCGGCTTGCGTGCTGTGTGGATCACCTATAACTTGAGCTTACTGGTACCGGAGGCATTGGTGGTAAACAGGACAGTGATGCGTTCCTTCTGCAATTTCCGGCCCCGAATCTTGCTGGCATTCTTTACAACGAAGGACTTGGAAGGTAGCATTTTCCAGAAAAGACCAGATTCGTCCATGTTAAACACCTGGTCGTCGGTGTACTGTCCTTCCTCCATAATCTCACGTAAAAACGGAGGAAATTCCCCAGCCGCAGCACGGTCAGCACTCGCTTCTTCACCACCAATGTATATATTGGTGATCTTGTTCCGGATCTTAAACCTCTGTAACCACCCAGAGGAAGCATTAAAGGGTTTGGGCTCTGTAGTTCCCATCTTTCGTGCCACTGCAATGTACAGTTCACGTGCGTAGTCCTTAACAGAGCGCTTGTCAACCGCCATGTTCCGTCGCGCCTGACGCACCAAGTACCTCACAAGTAATTTTTCTGTCTTGAGAAGCACCTGGTTGTGAAAATACTTGATCATAGAAGCACCTGTAGACTTTGTGATCTTCATGTGCTCCTTTATCTTGGCTACATCCTTCTTTATTGTTCGAATCGTAGATTCATTCACACCATGCTGGCGCGCCAAATCAACCTGCCTTGTTCCTTTCTCCAACTCTTGGATGATGGTATACTTCACCTCGTAGCTTAAGGAACGTCGTGTCTTCTTTGGCTTAGTGCCAGTGGGTCCAGGTAAGGAAAGGTTTCTCTCTGGGGGTGGTGGTCCGGCGGAAGCCATTTTAGAGAACAATGGATGCACGTTTACACGGTCTGGCGTGGAGGGATGAAACTGGCATGGCTAGGTCAAGGATCATCTTTCCTCCCTCCCTCCCTCCCCCGGGTGGACACGTCATAATACTTTAAGCCAATTACAGCTAGCAGCAGAGGGGGGTAGGGATGCATGGCCAATCACAGTCCGATACGTCATATTACGTCAGTGATAAAGCAACAAAGACACACACTGCGCAACCTTACCGCGCGGCTTGCCCAAGCGGAGGGAGGAGGAGGGAGAGGCGAGGAGCACAGGCAGGCAGGCGGGTGGGGCGAATCTAAAAATAGCGTCGCGCCGAACACTCTCCGCGTAATGGGGTTCACGCACCGCGTAATGTGAGCACTTTAGGTTCTGGCAAGGCACCGCGTTAACGTGGAAACGCGGAATGTGGGACCGCGTAAAGTGAGGGTTGACTGTAATTGTAAAAATGATGTTAATTATCACTGGTAAAGCTGAGGCATGCTAATTTTTCCCCTAAACTGAGAACAGGACATTACTAAATAGAAACTACTGTATTATACAGTAATTAAATGTAATTTGAAACTTGCAAGTTTTGAGATTTAAGAAATAGGGACCAGTTGCTTACAAAGACAAGGGTAATTGTCTAGGACAATACAGTATTGCAATCAATTTTAACCCTACAAACATTGTAGAATAAATGTTCTTTTCAATGTTTATTTTGTAACATTTTTAAAATTTGAATATTTTTTTAAATCTTACAAATCATCTTTTAAAACAAGCACAATGAACCTAACTTAACAATCTTAGGCCATATTTTAATTAAGTTAGGGATGTTGGATTGAGTTTTATCATATATCACTTTCCTGCTTTAAAGGAACTGCATGATGGAGTAGGCCCATTATACTATACTGTACTATCCTAGACAGTAACCAAGACAAATTTAATACATGTGTACTATGATTTAAGATATATCTTAACAGCCTTGAACACAAGCCATACATGAATCTTGACGCGAGTAACTTTCTGTTTCAGAGCAACATTCCAAAGACAGGTTTTGATTTCCTTGACAACTGGTAAATTTATCAACTCACATGGGACCTGCTCATGTGACTCAACTGGCCCATGTGACAGCCTGATCCCCTAACACAGCTGGACATTATGACAAAGCTTCATCACCTGACAGCTATCCTTGTGACACAGCCTGATCACATGGCACAGCTGGATCATGCGACACAACAGGACCACCTGACATAAGCAACAGTGGTGGCAGGTTGGTCAGCCATTTACTATAGGTGGTGTCATTTACTTACGAGTAGTCTAAATAGTAAACACAATGAACCTGAAAGAAAGTATTCAGGGGGTTAAACCTGCTTTTCTTTAATAACTACTGTCCAGATTTACAAGTGTTATTTGATGTACAGTACTTTAAAATACTGTGAGACAATGTGTATGCAACAAAGTAAAAAACATAAAAAATATGTATTTACAGTATGCAAATGATATAACTTGGTGCTTCTCAACAGACAGTAACTGGGGAAAATGTAGACAGTGCATATTACCAGGTGTAGTTGTAGCACCCACATTATAAAATGGAAGGGAAATGTAGTGAGGAAACAACAGAATAAAGGCAATTAATTGAGGAATAGCTTGAATTGCAACATCTTATTGGCAACATCACAGAGGCCATTTGTGTTGGTGGTGACATAACTTCAGTGTGATGATTGAAACCCTTGAATAGAATTAATCTATTTTCTTTTTATCATCTTCAATACTTGTCAGCTTACTAGCAGGCCAGCCAGTTCTGTTACGTACTGTTGGCAAGTACTGTACTACTAGGCATCAGTATTATTTGGTTATTTTCTTTAGTATTTCATGTGATACTAAACAAAGTTGCCAACACACTACCACCACCTCAAGAATGTTATAGACAAAGACTGGTAGTCACCACATAGTGATATTCCATGGAATTAATTCACTAAGGTTTATATAGTACAGTACAATGATTATTCCTCATAACTGAAGATGTAAGAATCTACCCATTATGATGACAGGGTAAAGCATGCATCTAAAAATAAAACCAAATTCTATTGAGGGACTACCTGGTTGCATTTACAATACAGTACTTAACACCAGTTAGAGGAAAACCTTAATGTGTAAAATCTTTTTCAATACAGTACAGTATATGCATTAAATTTTGCCTAATAGTTAAGTGAACGCACCTACTGAGAGAGTCATATTTTAATATTAATGATGTTTTTGGAAGTTATTTTTGCACTTTATCTTAAGTCGACCAGTTACTGTAGGTGCATTTTTAGATCTTTACTTATAAGGAATATTCATCGTACAAACCTTTGTGAATCAGGACCCTGACTGATGGATGAGGAATCATAACCATGACAGGCTTTCAGTTTCTTCTTGGCTGTGGCATCACATTATAGCTCAACACTGGTACAGTAATGGTCAAATAACATGATTAAGTTGTTAGTTATGTTTCTTGTGCCTGGACATATAGCAGGACTCACAGATTCTCAATTATTTACAAATTAACTTTTCCTTTTAATTGGAAATGAAAACACATCTAGTTATTATGGAGTCTTTGTGCAATTTTGAATCTGTTGGCTACCAACTGTATTTCATAGCTTAAGTGAGCTAGGTTTTATGTGCTTATGTACTGTACCTACAATTTTAGTGTACAGTCCAGTATGAAACTTTGACAATATGGGACAGGTATTGAGCTACCTGGATTAGTGAAGAGGAGTTGTCTAGGCGTGCTTACAGCAAGGCTGTTATATACCTCTTATTAACTCATAAATTAATGTATTAGAAATGGAGAAGTACTGTAGGCCTACTCTATGCACAGCAGAAATTATCACTGTACAGTCTTATTCAAGATTCTTCGAACACTGCTGGAGATAGCTGGCAATTCATTTATTCATAATTTTTACTACGTACTATAGTAAACAAAAAGCCTTGAGTTGCCAGTTGTCTCCAGCAGTGTTCGAAGAATCTTGAACGAGACTGTACATAGGTATACAATATAAACACCTGAACAGTATTAAGAATATCTACATCTAATACAGTATTTCCTATTCAGAATAAACACAATATACGTATACTTAGTTACAATGAAATTGGGTGGATGACAATAACTGTAATGTTCTGTGAATGTGAAACTTAATCAGTATTCAAGTTCTTGTGTTCCTGAAATATAGACAATAGATGATATAAGTAAGCCAGAGCATGAGCAGTAACTCTTGTTATTTTGCTCTTCTCTGGTAATGCGGCTGTACTTAATGCATTAGAATCCCAGGCCTACATTCATATCATGATCAGGTAAATATTTTGGTTCCACAATTTCTACGGGATAAAAAAAAATCAGAGGTGACACAAACATTGGCACTGCAGTCTCTTCACAGTAACCAGCAGATTAAAGGTGAAAATAAAAAATAATTGTATCGCAATTCCATCTTGAAGTTTCCTAAGACTTAATACGTTATCAGTACTGTACGTAATTTTGGAGGTTGTCCAAACAAGGAGTGACAGGTGTGGTTCTTCAGGCTCCTCTTGTTCAGGCTATACCCAGCACATCACGTCCAAATTTAGCATAGACAGATTGATTTGATTTGCAATGATCTTGCCACTATCTAAACTGTTGCATAAATATCCCTAGCTACATTAAGTGACTCATGAACGTAACACATCATTTGGTTTTCCCCAACACAAATGTACGTTAATGTACTGTACTACAAACAATCTAACTTCAATGTAAAGTATATCTCTCTTTATCGTTTACTGTGTGTGGGATATTTAGTGCAGTTTGTCAGTTTTACTAAGTAACAAGGAAGATAATGTAAAAGCTCAACTATATCCTTGTAAAACTGAGCAATACAAGGTTTGTATAATATAATGCCTTGTTGAAGTGTCATCGTCACACTGCTGCGACCAGCACTTGCTCTCTCTTTTTTACATCTTCAGTATTCTGTTAGATTTTTCACTGGCATTAAAGTCTTTTACTGGGATTGTGTTATATCATTCATCCTCCAAAAAACTTTCATTATTTCCAGATCAGTATAATGAATAGTGTACAGTAATATTCTATAGTAGGATAATTATTAACAAATGTACACAAATCTAACTTGGTGGTCAGTGCCCCCTACAGATAGCCAGATGATTTGTCAATAACTACTGAACCTTATCTTAAGTCAGAGTACTGTACTGTAATAGCCATCATTTACTAGCATCACTTTACATGAAGTGCATTATGTTAGCATGCAAATAATCCAGTTCTCCCCATTAACATGCTTTACAACAATGGTTAAACAAAAAGTACAAATACAAAATAGCATAAATATTAAACCATTTTATTTCTTATGCTCTCAGGTTTATTATAAAACCAATCAACACACCAAAGCAGCTACTGCAAGTAGCAATTACTTGACCACAACTGCCAGTTTACACTATAGTATAGTGCATTAAACATGCTAGAAGTATACTTTAGTCAGTAAAATACAACCTTTATGTGAGTGACGTTACCACACCACAGGCAACGTTTGGATCCCCTTTGGCTCTACAAAATGGCTGCCGCCGGGGAATGTAATAATAATACACCAGAGCAGGAACTAAAATAAAATAAAATATAAGAAGAAAAAGATGTACAGTATACAGTATTTGTATATCTGATGGAAGAGCAAGAAAATCATAAGATATAAAGTGTTAATATGAGGAAAACCTTTAAGTCATGGTAGATCAAAAAACGATATAAGATACATAACTATCTTCTCTTCCCTTCTCTGCTACTGACAGTCTTATGCAGTGACTCGTACCGTATATAACCACTCGGCCGTTTTCTGTAGTTAATGGAATCAATATCAGAGTACAGTATAGTATGAATGACATTTACACCATAGGTAATGGCTGAAATAAGTCACGTGACATTAGGAAAAAAAAATCGAGAATACAGGTAAAGAGAAATTTTGACTGATATAAAAGAAAGAAAGCCGGGAGTTTGAAATTCTCATGAATTTCACAACTGCCACCACTGCAACAAGCATTTATATTCGTTCATATATATACAGTATACTGTACTGTATATATAATTATTTGTAATAAAGTATAATTTGTATAATACTGTACAATACCCTGTACTGTACTTCAAAACTGGTAAAAGCTACAGTGTACCCACATTACAACAGGTGATTTATATGGATTCAGATGATTAGAAATAATAAATATTTATATAGTAATTTCCAATTAAAAGATACAAGCCACCTCCATCAATACTATTACCTTTACTACAAAAAAAGTATTTACACAGAATTAAAGAAGCCAAGCTGTCTCAGACCTACAGGAAGACTTACTCACCAACCCCAAACTCTAAATGCACTAGAGGAAATAGTTTAGTTGTAATTATCTGAGTCATTCTGTAAATTCAGCTTAAGTTGTGCATGATTACAAGACATAATTTAATTATTTTGATGAAACAACAAATTGCGTCAAACTACAAAGTGGCAATTTTTGCTCTATGTACAATCAACAAAAAATATTCTACATCTCTGGGTCTGATGGCCTTCACAATAATCACTGACTGAGGTCATGATTTGGTAAGGTTGGTATAAGTAATTGTGATTGTGTGATGCATTGTGTAACTAATACGATGTACAGTATTCTGTATATCACGTACGAATAAAGTACTGTACAGAGAAATTAACAGGAATACATAGCTCAAGAGTGTTGTTCAGAATTCTTGGTCCAGTGTGTCATATTGTATAACACCGTAAAGGTACAGAAATTTTTGTTGTTGACTGTACAGCAGCTGTTTACTGTATTTACATGAAATGTAAATGAACAAAGCCCCAATATCGGAAATACAAAGAAGTGTGTTGCCAAAAAACACAGCTGATGTTTAATGATGAGGGGAAGATTAAAAAGGATATGAATATGAAGACCATAGAAAATATAAAATGTTAAATCCCAGTACAACTCACCGTTATGGGTCAACATAACATACCGGTACCTTAATATATTGTACATCTAAACACTGTAAATACTCTTACACATGTGTACTGTACTTCCACATCTACCATGGACAATATTTAAACTAATTAGAGGTGGTGTTTTCAGATATTTCAGTTCCATAGAAAACAAATTATTTACAATGTACCTACAGTGTATTTTAATTTATAATTTCACCCGTTTCACCACTCATCAGCCTACTTACTATGAGTAGCCATTTGTGTAGTTGGTCTGTTCTTTGTTACTTTGTGATGACCTTTGTTGTCCAGTGTTAGTACAGGAGGAAGCTGCAGCACTCGAAGAAAACCTGCGGTGTTGTTAGTGAGAATCACACTGCTTTACTGATGTTCCTCTGGCATAAATTATGTAAAAGAAAATTGTACTGTAAGTGGTTATAATATGTTGGAGGAGGGGTTGTAAAAATTTATGGGGCAAGACTGTGGAACCATAAAAGGTAAAGAACAGTATTCAAAAGTGAACCTGATCTCTATATTCATTTGAATAACATTCACAATAGATTTGATGAAGAATCTGTTAATGAAAACTGAAATTAATGCATGGAAACAAACAAATTCACTAACACAATGGATGATGCTGCACTGTACAAGAAAGTAATACCTAATTCAAACTACACACCTCGAAGATTCATTTCTGTTTGACTTACAGCAACTCATTAGAATTTTATATGGACAATCTGAAATTCTAATGAGTTGCCATAAGTTAAATAGAAATAAATCTTCAAGGTGTGTAGTTATACATTAAGAAAAGATGGGTAAGGACAGGTGGAATAATCCATATAGCAAATCAAGCGAAGAACCAGGTAAGTGACCATCAAGACACATCACTGGGTGTTAAGCCTGTGACAGTGGTTTATATCAACACCATACAGTATAAGGTAATTACAGGTTTTTTAAATGAGCATGCTTGAAATTTTTTTTATGATAATGAAATAATTATGCAGTGAGAGAACAACAGATGATGTACAGTACATTACACAAGGAACACATTTTGTAAAAAATAAATGCCTTTAAGGTGGCAGTCAAACTATGATAAAGTGGCATGTATCAGTGTGTTGCAGTTACAACCCAACAACAAATAATATGACAAAATATAATATGAATAAATATAATATGCTGACAGGAAATGTTCATGTATTTCCTAAACCAAACCTGACAACAATGGAAAAGACAATCAAACTTACATTGATTGATGAAAAAGTCATACGATTACATTCCAGTTAATAAGAGCCTTTTCTTATAAGAATTAAATAACTACTGTATATAATACTCTACCTGGCTCATCTATTAATGAAGGTCTTTATAAGGGTTTTACCATTGATGTGATCAAGATAACAGCATCACTATAACACTACATGGTAGGTCAGCAACTCTTATGATTTCATGTACAAATCAGATATGAGAATGCTAATTTCTTCCTATAATAACAATATCATATCTCAAGTAATGGAACAGTTTAATGAATCCTTAAGTGTCACATGGGTGTATTAAATCTAAATGTCACTGTGTACATGATCTTTATAGTCTCCTGCAATCTTTCTTCAAAACTCTGGAAAGGTGACAGGAAGATAAACTATCATGACATCCAATTTCATGACATTTATACAATAATTATTTCATAAATAAGTGCACTACTATTTCTTGGTCATTCAAAATTTCAAATATTAATAATAACCAGAAATTTCCAATATACATACTGTATATAGAATGTTGGCTACACACGTGTGTATACCTGGCTGTTAACTGTCCATTCCCACACACTTATTATGATGCAGTTGTTTCTACATTCCCTAAAATGAGACACCCAAAGGCACAAAAGGTCTTCATATTTACAAGAGGTTGGGGCAACACAAGCCGACATGGTTATGTGGCAACTGAAGTGTCTTTGACTTCAGTGGTAAAGAAGCAACTGACTGACTGGCACCATGGTGGAGTGAATGATGAAATCACATGAAAAACCTCTAGAGGAAAAGAAAAATTGCTAAAGGCAATGTAATTAAAGTAGAGCATTATCTGAACATTTAGGAGCCAGACCTGGAAGGGTATGAAGAATAAATGCAGACTGATTTACTATGGATATAGGAAATCACAATTTAATATGGTATTTACAATACAATATATCAGTTACAAGAACATTTCTAGATGCAGCAAAATTATCAGTGGGGTGAAAGAGGAAAATTAAATATTTTCTTCACATCCCTTAATATTGAATCAATTTATGCTACCATTGCTTTCAGACAGGATGGGCAACATACAGAAAGAAAATGCCTTCAACAAGATTTTCCCAAAACAACTGGCATGAGGAGATATGGACGGCAGTGACTGATCTTGCCATCTTGTGACAGTAATAGATACATATTTTATCAAAAATACCATCCTCTGATAATTCATATAATTCTCAATCTGTACACTGAATACCAAATCTGTTACTTCCTCCTGAAAGAGATGTTTAATTATATTAAAATTATGAATATTTTAGTATGTAGCACATGTGAGAGGAGTAACAAAATACTGTACTGTTTTTAAAATGTGACTGAACAAAAAATATAGATACATTTTAACAAGTACCATACATGGGAGTGGAGGTTGTTTGTTGGAAGAGCTTGTAATAATAATAATAATAATCCAACAAGAGAGGAGGAGGAAGGAGGGCTGCAGAGAAATATACATCTTAAGTTACTATGTACACCATTTGAATATATTATGCTGGAGGGAGATCCCTTACACATGGTACAAGACCTGCATTTATATATACCTGAAAGACTATGTTATTACTTTCATTTATAAGATCTTCATAATTAATCTCAAATTCCTGTAGCAAAATATAATCTGCCTCAACAGTATTTCCTTTGGAGACCATACGTAACATAATGAACACAGTACTGTACAGTATATGGAGGGGATAAATGGTCACTGATCATAAACCAATTTGCTCAGTCCTCTTGTAAGGTAATCAGAATTCATGGAAATGGACTAGAAACTGCAGACAATTGAATAAAACCACACACTATATAAAACAAACTTCCTTCAACACTGACATAATCTCCAGTTCAGAGCCCATGTACATACTGTATTTTATTGATCAAATATGAGGCCAATTAGCACCATCATATGCCAATAACAATAACAAACCAATCATAATCTTATATATATAATACACTTCTTTCAGCTGGTAGTAGCTGAACAGACACACACTCACACATACTTATGCACACACACACACAAGTACAGAATATCCACCTCAATGGCATTTGAGTATTGGTATACAGCTGCAACTAGTATATAGCATCAAAGGCCAATTGTTAAATGAATAAAAAATAATAATGATGAAATTTAATTTACAAAAAGTTCACATGAAGTTTGCACTACTTCATCAACTAATGGGAACTAAAGCACCAAATACAGTATTCAATGCTAGCTGAGCCATTGTACATAATTTGTGATAGATGCTAGTTGCAGATGTTGCTGTATTTCTACCCAATAGCACTAAAAGGCATCCTTAATAAGCCATCATAAGTTGGAAGAAAAATCAGCAACCCCACGCAGCCACATTGAGTATCAAGGCTAACTAAAACTATGAGGGTGAATTATATCAAGCAGGATGATATGCATTCTGCACAACAATTTGTATCACTCACAGGAGACCAAAGCTGTGCTATTGCCATGTTAAGAATCAAAAGAATATAAGGGGGGGTGTGCGTAATATAAGCTACACACTGGTAATATCAACTACTGTATAAGGGATCTTTGTAAGAATAGCTAAATTCCCAATGTGATTCTATAAACATGTAAAATATAAACCTAACAAGATGTGTAAATATTTTAAGAAAACAAAGTGCCTGTCACTTGTCAAATTTACACAAGTCATTTCATGACACAACAGTTAAGTAGCCAGGTACAAGTGTTCAGCAGGCATATGTGCAAATAAAATACCCCTCTCTCTAACAATCTCTTTGGTAAGTAGACTTCTTGTGCCCTCTGGTTGTCCTCCAAGTACCAATAACTGGTATGTGATCAACACCCAACATGAGCTACACTTCAATTCACATTTTATACAAACAAGTACAGACACTGTTCTACACACAGCTCAGTACAGCATTTGATGAGAGACTAAACAAGCATTGGGTAGATTAAAATTATGCCACACTTGAAATATTATCCAAATGAAATCCTTGTGAAGCAGTCTTTCACTTTTGCTTCACAGGGACAAAGAAAAAGAAAAAGAAAAATCTGTGCAGAATTAATGTCCAGCAGAAAAAATTCAAAACCAAATCATGACACACAGTATAAGTAGACCTCACTAAGGTACTATAAAAACAGAAATTCTTACTTGCACAAGAACCACTCCTGACACTATATCACTGTGTATGCTTTTAGTAAGAGTATTTTTAGTTTCCACAGAAATCTTTTGACTGGAGATTTAAGGGGATCGTCCCACTGTGAATGATCCAAAAATTATGAAAAATTGTATTTTCTTAAGACAAAATTTCCTCTGAACTCTGGCAACCTTTAGCTACATCACTGCCAAGTATAAACGGTACGATAATATCTTCTATCACACCCCCCAAAAAAAAAAAAAAAAATCATAAAAGATCATTTACCTCCCTTCCCCCGTAGTCAGTTTTGGGTGATTCTCATTTTCTGTTGCCTTCATACAGTAAAAGTTTATAAGCAAATAAGGTGTTGATTAATGCAAGGGCAAACTCGCCACCTGAACAAAAATGTGATTTTTGTACCATACATTTCAGAAAGTTTCATTCTACTATTACACAAGATGGTATGAAGAGTTCGCCTTTGGTTTACTGGCAAAATCCCACTGAATCATATGGTGTAAAACTTCCAGCAGCTCTGCGCTGCCTGTGGTAATTTCAGTGTCTGGCGAGAGTAAAGCAAAGTCAAACTCGCCAGTGGCCTGGTGACCAATCACAGCCTGCCGTACTCCCTGAGCTAATCAGCATGTTGGGAAGGAACGTGCCGACCAATGAGAAGCCCACTACGTTCTATTTTCGGCGTCCCGGAGGAAAATGTATCTGATGATGATCAGATAGACTACCAGTTACCTACCCTACTCCCCCCTGCTACGAAGTTCTTTAGCAAAGCATAATCATCATCAAGTGATATTGTTACCATTATTTATTTTTTTTTTTTTACTTCATTAGACTATCAATTTATTGTTTTGTGTACAGAACTTTATTATTTTCATGGATGTCAATTTCACACAATTTCATTATTTGATGTCAATGTGCACCAGAATCATACATCACACCTGATTTATTACAAGGATCATATTCTGCATTAAATTTCCTTTATAATGAGACATTATTGAACAGAATTATTGAATTTTTGGAGGTTCTATGATGTTTTGAATATGCACAAACCTTAATGTCTCAAAACTTGGTTTTGGTGTGTTCGCCTTGCATTAATCTACGCCTTAAATGACATAGTGAGTTTTATTGTTATATTTTTTATTTATTAAACCTAAGAAAAGATTTGTCTGGCAACACCTATCAGCCAGTCTGATGAGCTTCTGAGAATGCATTGACGTCTTAGTGCTCAGCTAGCCCGTATGGAGAGATAACCTATCTTTTGATTATTTAGAAAAAGTAAACAAACAATCGTAGTATTAATAATAATAATAAAAAAAAAAAATCAGCTGAATTTGTTGAAATTTTAATGGTATCACTGTTAGATGAGCCTAAATATTATGTTTCTATTTCATATATATTCACCCATAAAAAAAAAGGGAGCTCCAGCGGGACGATAGCCATAAATTAATGGTTGGTTGACCTCTATATCTACAACTCATAAATTATGTACCACTAGGGGTTCTTTCACCAACATCCAAAGCATAACTATGCACCATTTCAGAACATAAATTATCCAACTTTAAAAGAATAATCAATTATTGGAATACAGACAACACATACAATAAGAACTTTGGCTTGTTCATAAACACTGCCGATATCTCAAACTGCTCGTCTAACTCCATGACGACGAGCAGAAGCTGAACTAGCACATCAACGGCTATAAGAGAGTAAGTGTACAGAGGCAAGTGATCCACCTACACAAGGCAGTACACACACTTACACTCAAATCCAACTTGTCCCTCCATCACTAACTGCAGTATTAATACAGCTTAAGATATTCTATGCGAAACATTTACTGTATTGAAAATATTTCTTAATATGATTACGACTAATTCTTTTTATCAGACAACTTACTGCAAAATATGTACATGTACTGTACACTTGAGTAGAATATTTGGCAAATGTATGGAAGGGCTGTTTGGTGTTTGTACAGTACAGTATTGTAAAAAAAGATGTGAGTAATTGTTTTTTCAATTACAATTACCTTTCATCCACTGTACTTATTAACACACAAGTAATTCTGTCACTAGCTTATCGCCTTCTATATCAAAGACAATGAATACATCTGGTGACCTTCAAAACCAATCTATTGTTACTCTGGGATTCATAAGTTTTTAGCAATATTACTTAAAAATGTTAATAGATTACTCATGCTATAGTTCATTTATATAAAAAAAATTAATGGACAAACTTGATATATTAATATAATATTATTGTTTACTTAAATTCAAAATAAAGAGTTACTTAGTAGAGGCAGTTTGTATCATCTATGAAATCCACACTAGTTATTAACACCTATCCTCGCCTCACCCAACACAAACACAATCAGAAAGAAATTACATTTATGACCAATTGAGTAAATAATTTACTTCACTGCCAATTAAAAGTAAATAATACACTGAGAAAATATCATACAAACTGCAAACAAACATCATTATTACTGACCAATATCATGTTACTGTGACAAGAGGGAAGACTATGGAAGTGGTCTACGGTATGTTATATGTACTGTACCTCTGACCTGAAGTGGCAGTATACTAATGTGTGTATCTTAGCTCCATTTATACCAAGGGCCTTTTTTTCTTACACATGGAAGTTTAAATACAGTAATGAGTCATTGAATGTTCAGCCAAAAAATGTGACTTCTTTATAATTGCTGTTTCAACAATATTCTTAGAAAAACAAAACAAAAAACATGAAAACCAAAGAGGAAGCTTTGAAAATCACAAAAGTCCCTGTCATGATGTACTTGAGAGCATGTGTGAGGTGATGATGCAGAAAAGAAATACAAAAATAAGATTGAAATGTGGATATGAAAGAATAATCATAGCTGAACACAGTGGATTTTTGTTAAGGTAGTGTGAATATATTGAGAGAATGGGATGTGAAAGACTGATAAAAAGTGTATAATTCAGAGGTAAAGGTGATGACCAAGAGGGGGAGGGAAGGCTGAACTTGAAGTGAGTGAGACTGATATCCAGAACACATCAAACCTCACGATTAATGCAAGAATACAATGTCTAGAGATTAATGGGGATGTCACAGCAGTTATTGAATGAATGAAGGAGAGTGAAAAGAGAGTCTGTTTCTGCTCTTGCTTCCAAGCCACCCAACAACACAGCGCAGAAAGGCTTGCAAGAATGAAAAATAAAAAAGTAATCTCTTCACAATGTGTCAAGAGACATTATTTCATGACTGTATAAAAAATGGAATTCAAATGAGAAAGTAACCCAAGTAGATTACAATCATTTGATAAGATGGGCGAAACAATTGTCAAGTGTGTATTAGAAGGCAGCACAGTTATACCCACATTAACTTAATTCCAAACAAAGAGAGGAACTTAAAATTGACTACATATTTGTGATTACAAAATGGATTACAATAACAACACAATCACAGGGATACAATTACTGTCTACACAACAATGTAATCCCAAAATGCTTATATCTAAACATTTGAAAATGAGATCATATTGCCAAACACCAAAATCAAGTCCCATAAATAAGTCCAAACAACAAATATATTCCTCATGAACTGCCTGCAAGAGATGTTGGAGGCATCAGTGAAGCATATATTGTTTATAAAATATTTGACAATTTTTACATAAAAGACAATTCCCCGTGCCACATGGAGGAAGAACTCACCATTCATTTTTGCCAAGGCAAAGATATGAATTTCAAAATTATCAATTCCTAAGAATGACCTTGGCTTTCCTCTATAAAAGTAAAATAAAAATTAGAATTAATTAATATTAAACAAACTGCATACAGTATTTGTAAACATAAAATCAATGACTTACTACACCAATTATCACTAAATAAAGCATTCTTTCACAGGAAAAATTATTTGTCACAACATAATACTTTCACACATCTGTTGGGTTTCTAATTAACTGTCCCATTGGTTAAGCTCTCAGACAGGTGATTCTTGAGGGTGTGGTATATTTGGTAGATATGTTTCCAGTGTTGAGGGTTTGTGGTGGTGCATTTCAATAATGATTCAGATTCATTCAGAGTCAAAGTAGCTGGCTCTGAAACCCAAGCACAAAAGCAATCTTTCCAAGGTTTAAGACTGCTTAAAGATACATCTATTCTCAAACTGGTATCCAGTTGCAAAGGAACAAGTGAAAGGCTGGGATCAAATGGCAAGGACCCTGTATCCTCAAGCAGGTACTTAATACGATGCCAAGTGTGATAAGCGCTGGAGAGTGGGTCGCTAATCCTCATAAGGGCACCACTTGCTGACAAGGAATCAAGCAAGTTTTGAATGTAATGCACATTGAGGAACGCTTCTCGAGAAGAAGATCTCTTTTCTGAATAATCTTCAGTCGCTCCATTCTGTTGATTCCTCAGGAGACTCCGGTTCTCCCCCCACCAGGACCACACCGGTCTCAGGTATATGGGTTGGTGTGGGTTCTCTCGTTGTAATACCTGCAACCGAACTGACATTAATTTGTCCGAAAAAAAATTATTGATATATGGAATGTAATCATTATCTAAACTGGAGGAATAAAATAAGAAATTTCTTTTTATGGTCAAAGAAATGGGCATGGGATGAACCACAGTTAAGCAAGTTATGGATATATCCTGCCACTACCTATAACAGGCACAATGCAAATCAACATGGGAGTATGGGACATTATCATAATGGACAATGCATTATTGCAAATGAAGAATACCTTGCAACCTACTTATGAAACCAGTTGAATCCTTATAAATATGCACAAGTTCAGTAGTAATAAGGAATTGAGTGAAGATTCAATCTCCCAATACCTTTTTAGCCAACAAGCAGTGATTGTAATACATGCAATCCACTATATCAATCATTGTTGTTTCTTCCTAAGGTTGTATACAAAAGACGTCTACAATTATGAAAACTGGGAAAAAAAAAGTTAATTTACGAACAAATACAGTATACATGTACAGTACTCATACCTACAACACCTGTTTCTAATACTTCCTATCCCAGGATTTCACTACAGTAAACTTCCCGTCTCCTCTTACCTTTCTTCTGATTTCATTGATTTTATTCTAAAACTGTCCTCTTTTTATCATGGACATCTACTCTTTCTTTCTTTCTCTCTCAATTCTCACATACTCCAGTGTTTTAGCTTACCTCTTCAGTTTATCCTCAGTTTATCTAATCATCTAAACTTTTCTCTTTTTCCTACAGAAACTTATCATAACCTAACCATCATTCACCTTCAGAAGACAGCTGGATAAGAAAGATACACTTACATTAGCGGCAGTATATTTGGCATTGATAGAGTTGAACATGAAGCTGGAATGGAGGGAGCAGTGAGCCGAATGCCAGAGAGCCACCAGATACTCAGATGTAAACTCCAGAGCTGCATAGTGCTGCACGCTCACTTGATACACACAGTCTAGGAACAGCAACCACACCGGGCTCTGTGAAAAAAGCAAAAAAAAAAAACACGTTTCTGTACTTCATTTCTATTAATTTTTTAACACTGATCCCTCCAAAATGGTGCAATATGAAACAAATTAATTAATTTGTTTACAGTTGGGGTAAAAAATTCGCTCCTGCCCAAAATGAAGCAGCATCGACCTTAAACGAGATACAACAGTTAGGATAAGTCAATTAGGACACTCATTCCCGTGACTCAGTTTCAGGAAGTGAATTTTTGTCCGCGACTGTACCACAGTACAGTACGTACTTACATTTCCAAACTACCATAAGCTATACATAAGAGGAAACATCAAAAAAGAATATTACACTCTGACAGACCTGTTCTTCAACTTGATTCCTGGTGTGTCCAAGACGGGTAGAAAAAGGATGACCTAAGGCGACCCATTCTTTCTGAATAAGACAGTGAAACCCTCGTATGGTGCGCACTTGAGGATCCAGTATTAACTGCACCAGGCTAGATATGACAGCACTCAGGTCACGACCTTCACTCTCTACAAATAAAAGTAAAAATAAGCACTATGCATCTTTCATCCGACTTTATGGACTAGCCTAAAAGTACTTAATAAAGTTAACTACACAGTTTCTAAAATAATATCACATTTCATCTCTTTAACCCCTTCACTATGGGAACAACACTCATAGTATTTTATTTAGCTAAGGCCATATGATTTTATTCAGCACAGATAGACTCCTGTACATGGGAGGGAAAAAAAAAAAAAAAAAAACTTTGTTCACCAGACAACTAAATTTTTACAGTAATCTGTTTTTGAAACGTCTGAGTGAATCTGTGTGTCAGACACAATAAAACCAGACAGCTTAAATCTGACCTACCCTGGAGAATGACTGAGCTATTGTGATGAAGCATGGCATTGGCAGCCTTCTTGGCCCCTTCAAGACATTTGCTGACATGGGATAACCATCTAGAAGACTCCCAACGGCTGTAATAGTGACGGTCTTGCTCCCAAAATTGTGTGGGATCATCTGGAAAATAGTGTATATATAAAGTTAGGTCATGTCTTTCACACATTCCCCATTATGAACATTAATTGTATTTACAAGAGTTTATTTAGTCAACTGTTCTTACCTGTATTGATATTGAAACAGTTTATTTAGCCAGAAAAATACAGATACAGAGTGGATAATAATAACAATATTAACATGGCTGAGCCAGTTGAGAACCTGAGCTCTCGTGAAGGCACCTGATAAATACTGTACATTTATCTCAAGGAAGTATTGTGTAACATTTAATATCATCTGGAATATATACATACTTAACAGTGGAGTTAAAATCTGGGTTATATTAAGGTGGAACGAGAGGACAGAAGTTGTCAGTATCAAGTCTTGTTGGCAAATATGATAATTGCAATGGTAATTTCTATCTTTCTGCATGACAATTTCTGATATAATAGTTTTGGTGGTACAGTAAAGGGAGGAATGTAAAGTAGGTTTTACAAAAATGTTAATACAGTACTTATACAATAGAATTTTTTTTAAGAGATAATTTAAAGGAAGGGAGCATAGTCTTTGCTTGGATGGGTGGGGTTAAGTTGTTCCACACCTTCACACCATGATATTTTATGGAGGTCTGGGACTGAGAGGTGTCACAGTTCATCAAGGAAGGTGATATAGACAATAACAGTACGTAATGGTGTGTAAAACAAGTCAGTCATTTCATGCACTAAAAGAGGCATAATAGTATTGCCTTTTCCTTTACTCTACAATCTTCTTCCCTGACATCTGCTATCTGGCTTCCACTGCACTCCTCACAAATCTATACCGTTCTTGCAAAGACTTTTTCCATTCTTTCTTATATGCAAAAATACCATGTAATCAAGTACTGTACTTGGGTAAGGAGAAAAGTGGGAAATACTCAAAGAATGAAAGAAAGTATGATAAAAGCAGGGATAAAGGGTAAATAAAGGAGTAGGTCAAAAGAAAGAAAAAATGAGAGGAGGCTGGCAGATGTGATAATGTCTATGATGGTGACACAGTGGATAATGATGGAGGAGGAGGGGGAGACCAGTTTGAAAGGAGTGGAGTACTGTACTGTAGTTAGTTACCCAAAATCAAGTGTAATTCAAAATACAGTTTGTGAAAGATTAATACAGTATAAGACTTACCAGGTGTGTGTAGCTCTCTTAGTTTCATATATGAGATCTGAATGTCTTTTAAGGAAGGTAATATTTGGTCAAGGTCCATAATAAATGGCTGCAGTTTCTTTGGGTGACATCGGTGTACCAGCCCCATCATGCGGTTCTCCTGTTGCCTGTTAAATGATAATAAGACAATAAACAATAGGTGTTTTGTAATTCTAAGACAGACACTTTCTTTAATATTAATAAACATACACTATAATACCACAGAATGACAGTGAAAAGAATGACATATTTTTTTACATGTAAAAAAAAAATTACACAATTCTTAGGAACACACGCCTGATTTAAGTTTGAAATGTGGGTTCAAAAGTAAACACAGTTTACTGCATATAAGAGGAATACAGGTGTTAACTGTTATACAATGGATCTACAGTATATACGATCAATCAGTTTAATGATGTTAAAAAATTAACACCATTTACTGCTATGCAATGGCTAATATCAGCTTTACAATGGTCGCTACCCGAATGTCTTCATTGTCACCATGAAAAAGTGATGTGCAATAACTCGCAATATTCCGAGATATGATGATGCATAACACTTGTGACCCACACGGGATGCGAGGGAGGCTCTGCCCGTCCCTGTGACTGCCAGGCTGAACTGTGTCACATCGCCCAGAGGATGGTTTGTGTGTGGAAGCTTTTCCTTTGTACATAAAATATGCAATACTTTACCAGTAAATGTGAGGAATAAATAAAAATAATAATATTGCATTAACATTTGGCAATCGTGTCACTACGCACGGGACATGAGACAGCGAATCGAGATCCCCCATACCGCTCCCTTCCCCTCCACTCTCTGTACTAGCTCCAAGCACGTAGGAAATGTTTATCCCCTTTGTTTTTGACATTATGATTATTATTTTTTTTCATTCTATATGGCTATTGTGTGCATATAAGAGGATTTTTTTCTCATTTATTTACCCCAAATTGTATTGAAAAATAACCATAATATAGGTCACAGTTAGCTTCCACACACAAGAAATTTTTATTCCCTTTTACGTTTTGTCCCTATAATTTTTTTCTTCACATTGTTAAAACGATTGTGTGCGCATGTAACAGAGAAAAGAAAAATGTTCAGCAATCCCTCGTCAACTGCAGATTCCATGTATCCAAGGTTTTCATTCGGTATACCATTTCACCAACCGAGGTATTTAGTTTTATGTGTCCGCGGATTAGTGTGGTGTCTTTCGCCCGTATTATTAAACAACATCTTCCCTTGAAGAGGGTCGCCGTGTTTCAGCCCTAGTTTTAAACTAAATGAGTCCTGAGGGACACCGCAATACTGTACTTAACAGGGTGGTGTGGCGGTAAAATTAACTAATTCCAATATTACATATTAATTTCATTGGAATTATTTAACTTTACCGCCACACCACCCCGTTAAGTACTGTACTGCGGTGTTCCTCAGGACTCATTTAGTTTAAAACTCTGGTTGAAACACGACGACACTCTTCAAGGGAAGATGTTGTTTAATAATATGGGCGTTTATCTCTTCACAGTCTAACGTATTTCTCCATAAATGTGAGAAATAAATAAAAACAATACTGTACTAATAAAAAAGAGAAAAATTATGCATTGCCATTTGGTAATTGTTTCACTAAGGACACGAGAAACAGGAGCCTGACATGTTGATCCGAGTCTAGCATTCAGCAGCCAGAGAGTTACTCCAAATTTAGGCAGAAAAATAATCCAGTGAAGGGTTGCTCCACTTGATAGTGAACTCATTTATTGATGACTAAACAAAGACTAGTGTATCTGGAGGAACATAATCCTCCAGTTTGATTAGGAATTAATCTCAGAATCATCACTTTGATGTCATCACGGTAACAACCAAGCTATGAACATAGTAATATAAAACGCTTCCTTTGAGTATAAAACCCTTGGAAAAATGGTGAAAATCTACATACAATATACCGTATCCTATATGTAATGTCAATTACTGTACATACTCATAAATGGCAGTGACCTTCAACTCTGGAACTTGAAGCAAGAGGGATGAATGTAAACAAGGAATTTTATTTAGAATCCACAAGTACTTGTACCATCCTGCTGTGTAAGTAAGATAATTCTTATACCTGTCTAATACTCTTACATAAATTAGCCCACATGTAGACTGTCCATTCTCAGCTTCAGTAGACTGGTTACACATTTATCAAGAACAGTTATATAGCAATTTATTACACAAACTTAGAGTAACTTATTAGTATTGGCACATTCAAAACTGGGTGTATTAAGATTTCCCAGATCAGAAAGCTAATAATATTAGACTACAATACTTATCAACTAGGTAGAATTAGTTTACCTATGTAGTGACTTTTAATGATGACATACATCAAACCCAGAAGTTCACTGCCAAACTACTGTTGAGAGTCAGAGGGTGTGTGTTACTGGTACAGAAAGAAGGCAATTAAGTCCCAAAGCTGGTCACTACAGCCATGCCATTCAGGAAGTAACACCTTACAGCAGTGAACAATTTAGCATATCTACTGAAAGTTACTTAGTCATCATGGCACAGTCACATTCACTATAATGACTTACATGTCCAATAAATAAGATTGCTAAGAATGAGTCAATTAAAAAGCTCTCTTCATTACCTTGTTACGTAGGCAGTTTAAGAAAAATGGATGCATGAAACAAGCTTTTAACAAGGGTTTGGTTACTGAGACAACCTTAGGTGGCTGTGTATCAAGGAGTAACATGACTGACTCACTCACTGGGAAACCTCCTCCAGCTTTCTTCTCTTCAAAGTTCCCATAGATTTTGTCACCGACATCCTACAGTAGTTTAAGAAATAAACATAAAAGAGCAAATTTATGCAATATACATAAAATTTAGTCAGCTATTTATAAATAGCTCTACATAAGAAAAAAAAATCTTAATCCATACTGTTAAATTCTTTATCAAAGTCCTAATATGAAATACTTCTTTAGTAAATATGCAATGCAAAATGCTATGATAGTATCCAGTGTCATGATACAACTATAACCAAACAATATAAATATTTCTAATTCAATAGTAACTGGTTGACAGCATCCCTTTTTAACTATGCCCTGTATAGTACACATTTTTTAAAAACAAAAGGAAATATTTATGTAAGGGTCTTTACTAATCATAAAATATTACACTTATGCTACCCCAACTGTGGTGAGGGTGGAAATGCTATTAAATTACCCAAATAACAAACTTTTTAGAAGTTTATTAAAAAAAAATCCTTTAAGAAATACAGTCAAATACAGGCATGCATACTGTATGTACTATACATCTCTAATGCAGGAGAAAAACACTACATTTTAAGTAATGTACTGTATCATACTTTGTCTTGTACCAGATGCACACAATTCATGATACAGTGGTGGCAGGAGCCTCAACCATTTATCATCATACTTAGAGAGAGTTACAAACACTAATGAAGGGGAGGGAGGAAGGAACAATCATCACTACACCCTTAAACACACACAGGAGTAAGTATCTCATCTCCTCAACTATTCTACACCCATTTATCCCATCCTAAGGAGCTATTTTCCCTAGTACAATACATGAAATAAACTTGTTCTAAACTTACTTAAAATTAAAAGCTTCCTAATTGATAACTTAATGAAAGACATCTATATTGAATGTAAATGTCCCAAAAGGCAGAGAGAAGAGAGGCATGACTCTATAATGGTGATGAGATCAACAGACCTCTCCCCAACCTGCAGGATGTTATCTAATAATACTGTGCTGGTAGAAATATGGCACACCTTATTTTTTGTTTTAATAGTTTACAGGATAAAAAGAAACTCTTCATACAAAACATTTTGAGATGTTGCAGTATATAGAGGATACAGTAATAATCTTCCATAACAGGGGTACAATAACTTAAACCTGTGAAATAAATCTTGAACACAATTTATAATTAGCCTACACACCAATTTAGGGATCAATTTTTTAACCAAAGACAGCCAAAGAATATTAACTGTGAGCTGATACTCATGAAAACTATTTGAAGGGCATTCTCTTGCCATTTATCTCCAGTCTGAATAAATATGAACACGCATGGTAATCATTCTGTGAAACTAAGAATCAGTGATACGACCATATGCCCTGTGATACAAAACACAGTGTTTTCCCACACACATATCCAAATTAATTTAATGATAAATTATCTTACCTATTTGCTAATTATTTGTAACTTCAGTTCCACACAGGATTACTTGCAAACATCCTGCAAGACATTAACTAGCTACATATAACAAAGAATAATTGATAAAGAAACAAAGATGCCCCATACTAAGGCTGAGGACCAAGTTGTGTGACAGATGGTATTCCACCCCCCACCTTCCTCCTCCTTTGATGACAACACAAGTCTTTATTAGTTTTTCCTGCCTAAAATTGAAATCAGGAGCACCCATTGTATTCCTATCATGATCACAAGAGGAGAGACTACTAAAGATATACTGAACTGTACCTAACAAGCTACAATGACTAATAGGTAGCAACAAACTGCCACAATGTAGTTTATGGTTTACTTGGAAAGAATAGCAATTGCCATTGGGTGATTGGAAATAGGCTATTGAGAAATGTTTCTCAAATATTTTTCATTTGAGGATATCAACATTGATTTTTTTTTATTAATATTTACGAAAACTCATTCAGTGGGGGCAAGGGAAACGGTTCCCCCTAAAAAACTAACTATCTACGGAAGATATAAAATAACCATCAATACAAATATATGAAATATTTCAACAAAAGTTACACTATGATACAAATATATATAACACAATTCTAAAGTGTTCAAGAGGAGTTATTATGGACAAATGAGGTTTGGATATATTGACACCCTCTAGCCCTGACTGTGTCAATTTCAAGATTTATTGAATGTCTTTAGACAATATATGTTGTGTTGCAAACAAATCATACCTTATTTAGCTGTGTTTCATTCCCTACTTAATATGTGAACCAAAATAACAATGTTTCAGTTACCTTGGCACCTTCTTACAACTGGTCCATTCTAAAAGGCTTGACCTCAAAGCTGCAAGTATGACTGAAAATACAATCAATTTAGAACCTATTTATATACGACTACAAATACAGAATCACGTGGTAGAACTTAATGACTCACTTGTCTGTAATACTGGGGGAGATCTGTGCCATGCGGACTAATGCTGCCCCAGCTAGTGACCCCCAGCACCATACAGGAGGACGTGTGCCTTGGAAATGTTGTGCTGCCTGTTCTAACTGAGCATCCAGCAGGTCACGAGGAACCACCACCACGGCTGGCAGTCTGAAATTATTAAAAAAAAACAGAAGAAAACTTGTATGTTTCTATATATGAATTAAATAAGAGTAGGTATACAACATTTTCAAGTTTAAAAGAATAAGCAGCCACAGATATCCTAAACCTCCATTAACCAAACAATTAACTAGTAGATAACTTACGAGGAGCAGAGGTTGAAAAACTCATTGTGTTTAGACACTCTCCAGTTAGGACATCTGGTTCTCTGTATTTCTCTCTCCCAGTCCTGAGCCATGCTGCAAACAACCATTAATTCAATCAACAACCAAAGACATTGAACACAATGTACTCTCAATAAAATGGTTGGAGAGAAAATAATAATGGCAGAAGTTTAAACTATCATTCTTGTGGCACCTTTGTACTATTGACTTATAAAATACATAACAGTGTTTAAATAAAAAATCAGTTTTATCCATGCTATAAGCTCATGCATGTTACATATCCCTGTATGGACTGCAATATACTGCAATACAAACTATTTATATTTTCCAAAGACCATCAACTATTATGGGGGAAATTATGAGCCATTATATGTTGCTGAAGCAGAACCATAAAGATCATCAAGATAACAAATATGGTCTGACAAGCAACTACAGAGTGAAAAAAAATCTACACAGTAAGACACAAACAAGTCCACATTTTGCTATAAAGATAATTTCTGGCTCAAGTATAAAATGCATATGCAGCAAAATCCTAAATTCAGAAACAGTAATTGAGTACTGTAATTATCTTCACTATATCTGTAAGAGATCTTTGAACTTAAGAATTACGTTAGATACAAAGTTGCCTCAGATGTACCAAGAGATAAAGTGTCTGACCAAAGATAATTTAGCCCATGATAATTCTTGCAACAGAAAAAAATTTTGGAATTACTGTAATTAACAGATGAAGTCAGCTCCATTTCTTTACTCAACACTAATCAGAGGCACATCTACAGTACAGTATGTATTTCCACGTATTGTTCCACCACTACCTCCCCGGATGGCAGAGACGTCCCTCTACCCAATGCACTACTCAATAGGACCAAACAACTCATCATACAGAGGGTACTAAAATGTCTCTGCACAAAAGATAAAGTTATTGTGTTATGTATATATAACCTCAAAAATAAGGAAAGGAAAGGTTAGAGCAGCTGTTATATCTTTGAGAGAGAAAAAGAGATCACAGAACACATTTCAAGGTCATATTCATCAGATCCTACTCTGAATATGGATTAGGGAATATTAAGCATTGAATACAGCCCCCAGGCCATGGAAGCTATAGTGCTGTCTTGTAATGACAACAAAGAACTGGCACAACTTTCCACACAATGTCTGTGTACTGAAAATTTTTAATTTAGGTTGTTTAGATCTAAAGACAATCCTTATCGAAGAGAATCTGAGGTTATGGGTAAGTAGTGTACTGGACCTGTGAGAGGTTTACATCATCTGTGCAATTTCCTGATCTAATTTTCTTCTTATGTTCTGAAGATAGTTCATCCCTTTCTTAATTTGAGGTCTAGCACCTGGCTGTATTTTCATGACTCAATTTCTTACAGGAAGAAATAATAAACTCAAAAGTGTTTTGAATAATGCCAATCAAAAATTTACTGGTGAGCTAACCAAAAGTCTGGGATGCCAGGTGGAGGTGGTGGATGGCCACAGGAGAGGAAAAGGTGGTCTATGGTGGGTGGGAAGGCATGGTGCAGCAAAGCTTGTGCCACTCTTAGGTCTTCGCCCGCTGGGGTGAACTTGAAGCTGAAGTTTATAATACGCAGGTTCTGATGGAAAGAAAAAAAATAGGCTCATCAAAATTCTATCACCTGCACTAGTAATCAACCATATTTGTGTGTGTGTGTGTGGTTTCATCTATGAACAATCTTTATGGTATTCCCTCTATTCCATATCCATCCCATGAACAAGGTTTTATCATTTTAAAACGTGACAAATTATCTTTATGTGGGCAATATATAAACACATGCTGAACAATATGAGTACCATGCCAGAGAAGCACAGGAAGGATCTTTAGCACGAAATCCCATTTTATACATAGAGAAGAAATGAGTGGCTAGTGACAGCTACCACCACTTAACATCCCTGGCAAACTTTGCAGGTTCTGGTTACTGGTAAGAAACAACACCTGTGTGGATAATGCCACTTACAACAGCATATTATTATAATAATAATAATAATAATAATAATAATAATAATAATAATAATAATAATAATAATAATGATAATAATAAAAACAGCAACTATAAATCAAAGTTTTACAGCCATTTTCCATGCTTCCAAGCCACGGAAGCTTGATGGCAGCTCTTCAGGTTGTACGATCTTTTGCAACCTCTTTAGTCAAACGCTTATCCTGAGATCATTTCTCACAACCTTTCTCTGTGTCAACCTCTAGAGCTCTTGCCTTCCACAGTCAAACTCATCCATCCCCTGACCCTTCCATTCTCTCCACATGCCTCAACTGTTTAAACCTGCCTCTACACAAAACTCACCCAAACTCTCAAAACCCAGCCACCCTCTTCACTCTACACAGAGACCTCCATCTCTCAAGGACATATTGTAGTGAACATTCATCTTGCCATTCTTGTGAAATTGAATCAAAAGAATAAAGGCTGTTCAATCTGTTGATACATTTGTGCACTCTTACTTATATAACAACAACTCCTGATATGGTTACTACAGTAATTATGAACTACAACAGTGTCCCTTCATATATTAACAGGTCACACAGAAATAACAAATACCACTCTCTAAAGTAACACAGTGCACAAGAAAGTCCTCATGTTGGTGAAGTAGAGACCAAATTCTATTCACTACAATTGAACAATGAGGATCTCAGGAATGCTGAACAGATATAGCGTTGTACTAACTTAGGTCACAGGGTAGGACAGTATAATGACAAAACTTTGCACTTAACAACATTTAAAAAAAGAAAAATATACAGTATGTATACATATACTGTATATAATTCATGCAAAATGGTGAGCTTTCACTTCAGTGGCCATTAACTTTTGACTATAAGAAGATATACCAGTAACAGAAAGTGTAAAAGTAACATACAGGTCCAGCAGTAGTACAGTAGAGGGTTCTTGGTAGGCTGAGGTTTGAGACTCCGAAAAGGCTCAAAGCGGTGAGATATATAAGCCTGACTGGGAGTTTGAACTGCTCACTTGGACAATGCAGTGGTACAGAGACAAACTTTCATTTAAACATAGGTTCAAAATCGTGATCAAATGGGTGGATAGCTGCTTTGTTCATGGTATTATCCACATGATGTTTCCTGCCACTAGCAGCACAAGCTCCACCTGACACTTGGTGCTTAATGGTGGTAGATCCCACAGGTCACTCACCTCTTCCCTATGTTCCTATAGTTATTTGAGGGAAATTAATTCATGATATTGGCCAGGACATCATACCATCATGTCCAATTAATCTTCACAGCCAGGGCAGATTTAAAGTCAGCAAATCTAAATGGAAGTGAGTTATATTTTACTTCTTCTTGATTTATTTTATTGCCAAGAAAAAATTTCCCTGCTTTAATGCATTTTTCCCTTTTCTTTAATTAGCTGTTACGTGAATAAGAAGTATCTATTGCTTATTTAACCTCAGTGTGATGGATTACAGTACACTCAGACAATTTGCGGATATTTATTTCGCGGATGACACCCTAGATTGTCTGCGGGTAGTTTAAAGTTGCTGTAATTTTCGCGGCCAGGACAGGGAGCCATTTGTTCTAGAGACAGTAATTTCCTTTACCTGTATGGTATATGTGTGTGTGTGTGTGTGGACAAACACACAAAACACACACAAATAAATAATACAGTACTGTAATGGGAAAATTATTATTTATCTGTATGTGTTTTGTGTGTGTGTCTACACACACACACACATACACACACACACACACACACACACACACACACACACACACACACACACACACACACACACATATATATATACAATACAGGTAAAATAAATAATTGTACTAAGGGCAAACACATTTCTTTGTACACATGTAAAATGTACTCCCCCCCCTCCCCCCCGGACGGCAAATGTTATTCGCAGATTTGGCTATTTTTGCCATTTTGAAAACCTAACCGCTGCGAATTTTAAGGGCATGCTGTATTAATGAATAGTACATATAATGTACATTCTTCAGGAAAAATACTGTAATTTCAGCAATTACAAACACTTTACCTTTGACACAACACAAAATATTGTTAAAGACCTAAAATGCTAGATAAGGCACCGAGTTGTACTTTGTAGCCTTTAAGCAATTTTTCACCTTCAGACCAAAGGTAAACATGCAGACATTGAAAAGCTTCATCACCAAACATGTAAACATAAAATATTGAAACAAATGCAAACTCCAATTAATATACGAGACCAAGTTAAAAAAAGATATTCAGGATGCCATCACAAACATTTATATGGAGAATGTAAATGTAAGAACAAATATGCACACAGAAGACAGAAATACAAGTAAACACTAAAGAAAATATGCAAAAAGGGCAACACAATTATCTGTGAAGTAGTTTGACAACATATGACAGAGTAACAAGTGCTTATGCAGTACACTATGAAGATGGGAATCACTGGTTGGAAGAGTCAAGCCTCCCACACTACATGCTTCATTGGATGGCTAATTTTGACAATTCTATAACCATAAACTTACAAAAAGATAAAAACACAGAGCTTAAAAGAGAAGAGGAATGAAAAATGACAATATCTGCAAGGTTGTGTGGATAAACAGGTGCAGCAGCCTTGGCCCAGCATATGCCTCATTAACCTTGTAACTGAGAATGTATGGGAGACCACAAGTAGGGCTGAGGTGAATGAAGCCACCAAAGAAAGAAACAGAAATAAAATGAATTAAGTCAAATGCAATACTCTTTTTTTTTTAACATACAGTACTGTACAACCATATATCTAACTTTCACATATGGCTCAGCTTTCATTCTTTTCTAAAATGCTGCACATAGTGGTGACTCCCCTATCTTATATTTAACTCTGCACATGACCTTTTTCTTATCAGCATCTGTATTTTTTAGATAATTTCCCAAGAGGCCTTTTCTTTTTATCCATACCAAATCCAAACTAAATTCTCATAACACCTGTACCATTATCATCATTACGTTGCAATATCCTCAATCAGGGTTGCCACAGAAATTTTAAATAGAAGTCACCTGACTACAGGTATTTTTGTAGACAAAATAAGTTTGAGCTGAAGTTTTGTATGACTCTGAGGCCATAAATGGTGGTCACACACTGGGGGATGTATTCACCCACATTCTTGGACTAATCATCAGGTGTTCTGGTCTTGGCAATGGGAAGATTTTCAATTTTCAACAGACGTTACCCCCAATGGAGCACTACCAACCATCAGTAACATACGATTCATCAACCAATTGTATCATCGAATGTGACTACTCCCTTGCAACAAAGCAAATGACCAAAACTGAACCATTCAGGCCAGCCCAATGTTATAACAGTAATAATGTAAGGCCTCCTCCTCCTCACCTTATAGCCTCCACTCACCACCAACCAACTGATTTTGTCCATCAGTTTATTGCATGAACTCAACAAACAATATTTAACAATAATTAAACACAAGAAACAGAATTAATATGTATATATGGAAAGCAAAATAAATTCACAAGTGAGCACTGTAGCCCATGACAAAAAATTCCCAGGAAAATTCATTTATAAAGAAGCAAATTTCATCTTTAAATGCACTCAATGCAGCACAGTACTGTACTGTACTTTAACTGGCAAAGAAGCTACTGTGTATACTGTAGGTATGACAGGCTGTGAGAATTGAATGAGATGTAGCTGTGTTAACAGTTCTTCAACTAATCTTCAAGTTTTAAATTTTTTTAACTACAGTAAGTCCTCGCTTAACGTCGTCCCGCTTAACGTTGTTTCGGTACTATATCGCTAAACTTCAGAGACCAAAAATTCGTTTAACGTCCCGGTGATCCGATACTACGTTGTTTTGCGTCGTCACAGACTACTTTCTATGGCGCATCACCCGCTCTTGTCTGGCTGCGCTACGCTCTTTCTGCTCGGCGCGCTGCCCTCACTCGTGGAACATCGCACCGTTGCTTGGCCAGTCTCTGTCATGACTTCACATCATTCGTGTGTGCTTTAGTGCTTTTGCTCTAAAACTGTACTCTACCCATTCAAAATGGCTTCCAAGCGCCTATCAAGTACTACTGATGCTAGTGTAGTGAAAAGGCAACGTAAGACCATTACCCTTGCTACGAAAATGGATGTATTAACCCGATTTGAAAAAGGGGAATGTGCTGTGGACATAGCCGCTGTGCTAGGTCTAACCCCCACAATGGTGTGTACTATCCGGACCAACGCTGACAAGATTAAAGTTAGTACTGGAAGTGGTTCTTCTCTGAGTGCTACTAAGACGACTCATACCACCTCCACCCATCGGTGAGTACCAATACAAAGTTAGGACTGTAGTTCTATATACTATTTTCTATAGAATAGGCAATGATTTTCTGTATATGTAACTTTTTTCATGGGGCAAAGGGAGGATGGGGAACGTAACTCCCGTATTTTATCTATTTCCTAAGGGGAAAATTGATCAGCTTAACGTTGTTTCGCATAACGTCGCATTTTCAGGAACGTAACCCCGACATTAAGCGAGGGCGCCCTGTATCTTCCAAAACACCTTTACTTTATAAGGACCTTTTATGTGATTCATTGGACTCCACAAGTACCTGGTATACACATTTTTCTTTTTGTGCCATGTCATCAGATTCCCTACCTAACTTTTCAAATGCATTTTCCCACTTAAGCTTCATTTTCTTCTCTGCATCTGTGTTTTGTCTAGATTTGTCAGTTTCAACACTATCTTTCTTGCTCATACATATTTTCTAAAGTAAGTTTCATATATAAACCTACAGTAGCCCTACTGCAGAAGCTTAACACTTCTTTAGTAATTATCACTTTTGACATGTCACCTTTCTTTTCTTCAACAAAAATGTTTGACACCCCATCACAGAGAATTCTTTGTGCATTTACAATATTCAGTACTCCAATATGTGAGTTTTAACTATTGTATGTCCTTTTTGATGTTAAAACCCAGTTCATCTGATGCCTGGCCATGTGATAGGTAAAAATCATCTTAAAGACTCCCACTGTTTACAATATTAAGTTTTCTCACCAATAATATCAGCAAAAAGAAGATCCAGCCATTTTCATGTGATATGCAGAACAAATTCTGAACACCATTTTGAAAACAAAAGTTTTTACAAAATTCCCTGACTTGCCATGAAATTACCTGCCTTTCCCTGACCTGTGGCAACCCTGTCAATTTTCACCTACTCCCACCATTCTGGAGGAGTATCTTTCACAGTACAGTATACAAGAAGAAAAAAATGCCTTCAAGTATAAACCAACAAATCAGTTCCAACATTAATAATAACAACAACATAAACATTTGGCCTTAAGAAAGCTTCTAGTAGAATTCCAGATCATATATACTGTACACTGTTGAAACTCTCCAAAACACCTAAATTTTTGCGCATGTTTAAGTTCAAAGGTTCAAAGTTAGCATAACACTGCTTTTTTGAGCCATTGCAGACACACTACAGATATCCTCTTTACAAACACACACACAGTTTCTGAAAACAGAATCATGCTAACTCTGAATTCCTGATGTGACTCCAAAAGACAATTTTACTTCAGTTTTTCCTGCCTAATTTCTATTTTTTGTATTTCCTTGTTAATTTTCAAACATGATTACAAATACATTAAAAAACAGTCACAAAAGTGATCATTACCTTAAGCACTAGTTGTAACCCTGAGAGTCTTGAAGGCAGGGGAGCATTGTGATAAAGGCGCTTCTTTTTTGTGGATCCTTCAAAAAACTGATTGACAGAGTCAACTTCTGAGAGACAAACATCATGTACTCCAAGGAAATGGTTCTGAAGGCTCCTGTCATGCAACTCAGACTCCTGAAAAATAGAAGAGCTTAGTTGTAAAATCAGCAGTTTATTGAAAGTAGAGCTAAATAATCTGGTATGGCAACAGAATGTGGATATTATCAGTCAAAATGATTTGCTGTGTACTGTACAGTACAGCATGCCCTTCAAATTCGCAGGGGTTAAGTTTTCAAAATGGCTGCGAATTGCCAAATCTGCAAAAAAACATTTGCTGACCGAGGGGGGGTGGGGGGTTACATTTTTACATGTGTACAAAGAAATGTATACTGTATTTCCCTTATGTGTTTGCCCTGAGGACAATTATTTCTTTTACATGTCTGTGTGTGTGTGTAGATACACACACACAAAACACATACAAATAAATAATAATGGGAAAATCCCCTCACAAATAATCAGAAACAATTGTATTAAAAATGTTGAGTCTACCCTCAGGTCCACTCCGTGCTTTATTAATAACAAAGCACAGAGTGGACTTGAAGGTAGACTCAACATTTTTAATACATTTGTTTCTGATTATTTGTGAGGGGATTTTCCCATTATTATCTATTTGTATGTGTTTTGTGTGTGTGTCTATACACACACACATATACAATATAGATAAAAAAAATTACTATCTCTAGAACGAATGGCTCCCTGTCCCAGCCGGGAAAATGCCAGCAACTTTAAAACTACCCTTAAACATTCTTGGGCACATCCAGGGTGTCATCCGCAAATAATCGAGGTCCGCGAATTAAAAATTCGCAAATCTGAAGGGCATGCTGTAGTGCATATCAAATGGTCACCAAGATCGTATGATACTGTAGTTAACAATTATAAGAGAAGAAAATGAATGCTGGTACCAGAATTAGCATCTGTAGTAATAATAATCATAATAAGTGGTCCACACTAACTATGGATGGCCCCTTGGTCACAAGGAATTATACAAATTACAGGGAGTCCCTACAGATTTCACCTTCAAAAAGCCCATCAATGGACTTGGTTATAGATAACATAACTAAGCTAGTCAACACACTGCATAAGGGAGATGTGTGTCTGACTCTGACACACCGTGAAGAACTACTGTATACTGTATACAAGTGCCCGATCTTTCAAGCATGAAGTCTGATGACTGCAACAAGCTGTAGCTTAAATTCTTCAAGGTGATCGATTCAGTAACCTGTTCTTTCCCGGAGTTTTTATGTGTGATGTATCGACCATGTATGTAAAGTGTGATGATTGCAGCAAGTTTCAGTAGTGTAGAACCTAACTTGGATATAAAACATAACATGACCTATATTTCCCCTAAAGAAAAACAGTGATCTAGTTTTTAGAGATGACTTGGTAGTACTGTATCATAGATCATCACCAATAAGTCTGATGTAGCGTATCTTCTTTCACCACTGAAATATGACGTTATATAATTATAAAATATTCCTATTACTGTATTTATTGCCAACAATGACATGTAAGATTCATGGGGTACAGTACACCACAGCTCTTCTCCATTATGTGTACAACTAAGAGGTATACAGTAGTGTAGAAGAGAAAGATGAGAACAAGGAAGAAGAAAACAAATAATCTTTTACAAAAGTTAATATTTTATCCATGTTTTTGGTATATGAAGAAAATAATATCATAATTAACAAACAAAGTATTTTAATCAATGACTCCATAAGTACAGTACAGTAAATAGAACAGGTGACATCATACCTTACTGTCAACTGGCAGAGAAGTAACAAAAGAAACCTTAAAGTTGGTTATGAACAAGGTCCCAGAGATCCCTGTCTTGTTGGTCTTCAAAGGTGCAAACTTCAAATACATTGTTAGCTTCTGCTATCACAAATCTCCTGCCCAAGAAGAAACAGTAATGCTGCAGCCATAATCAAAACTATTTCCTTAATGATAAAAAAAAGAAAAAGGAATAATACTGCCTCTAACACAGAACATTGAATCTTATGTGTGAAATTGAGTCCTTATTCTTCACTATGAAGACAAATTTCATCCTAATGCCATTCACTCAATCATCAATCAATCCTTCACTTTCTCCTTGCTTCCCTTAACTTTCCCTCGCTTCCTTATCCCCTTCTTATCAATCTTTATCTTTAGTCTGTACTTTCTACTTCTTATTTCGATGGTCAGTACAGTACAATCAATACACTCCAGTCCATCATCCACCCTCTACTCTCAGTACTGTACTGTACATACACCAACAAAACCCAATCACAACACACTACATTCTGTATCATGCCATTCCTACACTGTGCAAGTTCAGTGTAGTTGAAGTGAGAGAAACCTGCATGAAATAGACAGCTGGCGATTACTCGGTATTATTTCCGTACGTCTGCCATGAAACTAACTTATACTGTGGTATACTATGCACGTATGAAGCCTCATACAATAATCAACTAAAAATTTGGTCATTTTTAAAATTTAGTATCACCATGTGTCTTAGGGCCAATAAGTTTTTCCCAGGAGGAACACAGTATTTTCATTTAATGCACCATATACTGTATGTCTGTAATGGTTTGTCTATGGTTAAATACTGCAGGTTTTAACACATAAATTTTGATGCATAAACTTTTTCATATACCTGTAAAGCCCATATATATATATATATATATATATATATATATATATATATATATATATATATATATATATATATATATATATATATATATATATATATATATATATATATATATATATATACACTATATATATATATATATATATATATATATATATATATATATATATATATATATATATAATATATATATATATATATATATATATATATATATATATATATATATATATATATATATATATATATATATATAAGGCTATGCAGGCAAGGTAGTATATTTACGCGTCAATATATATATACCTCGAAAGTGAAACCGAAAACTTGTGAAACCCGTAAAGTTATGGGATTAATTCCACAAGACTGGCCCGAATTTCAAAACCTAATTTCTTTCTCACACAATACCTATGTTGTAGTAAAAATAAATATCTTAATTTTATGATGGTATGTTCACACAATTAATATTTGGTGAGGAAATAGTCGTCAGGTGGTTGTCCATTCAAACATGGACTCAACTCCTCCCTTCCCACTGGCTCCTGTCTGAGAAATGTTTATGAAAACTTTTAACGATATAATAAATAATACCTCAGACTATAGTTAGATAATATAATTGAGTATTTCTGGTTCCTTGCAGGTCAGGAATATTTGAATGTAAGCTTTATATATTTGCACAAAAGATAAAAATATTTGTTGTGTAAACCAAATTATTACATTAGATCTAAAAGTTGTACAGTGGTCCTCGGTTAATCTAGCCTCGTTGACGGGATTTCAAGTTAGCCCAAGCTGCTCTTATAAGATTCTTAAATGTTTTTGTTACAACCCTCGGTTAACGAGTTTTTCTGAATAACCTCAACATGTTTTCGCCAGCACTGGCGGTCAACCAGCTGTAGTATTAGTCCGTAAATATAAATCGGCTCTAGGGCTTAAATTCACTATTTTAGTAATATCAAGAAGTTTATACTATTCAATAATTTTAAAAGTTTAATATTCAATTTTTAGCATTTTAACAATTATTGAACATATTTGAAGGTAAAGAAACTAGTTTCTGGGTGCCATCCAGCCTGTTAACACACCAGACAGGCGTTAGTCTCTGTTTTCAGTGGAGTAACATTTTGCTTGAGACTCTCTCTTCACTAAATGCTTTTTTTCTGTGTTTCCAAGCAAATTATTGGTCATTTGAAATTTATTTTACATATTGACAATATATAATGTGCAGTGTTGATTTAAAGAAAATAATCTTGAAAACAGAGAACTAAAATTTTATGGGTGAAATGGTGCCATGGGGTGACTTCTCTTCCACCCCAAAGCCTTCTCTTCTCCTTCTCCTTCCCCCCATTCTAATTCCATCATCATCATCATCATCATCATCCAGGAGCCTTCTACATACACACCTCAAAGTAAGTGTACTTTTCTACCTTTTTGTTGAATTTAGGCAATTTTCGGTGAGCTGGAACCAATGCCAAAAACCCATTGAAACAATGGTTTGGATTAACGAGCAACCTGCTGGAACGAACAGTTAACGAGGACCACTGCATGTCTAATGCAAAAATCCAAGTGATGTTTATATTCAAAATGATCATCATAGTGTAAGAATACCAAAATGTAAAATTATATTCTGCCGAGATATTATGAGTTTTATGAGCTAAAAAATATATATTCAGTTAATAATAAAAAAAATTATATTCTTCACACTATCATCAATCAAAATATCCCATCAAGCAGCTGGGTCAGTCGGTCCCAACCCTCCACCCCCACCTCATCACCCCCTCCCTACCAGAAAAAATGTTTGGGAGAAAATAGTATATTAACATTTTTAATAATAAATAATAACTCAGACTAAAGTTAAGATAATATAATTGACATTTCTGGATTCCTTGCAGGTCAGGGAATATTTTGAATGGAAACTTCATACTGTATATTTTGCAAACGATAAAATATTTGCTTTGTGTAAACCAAATTATTACATTAGATCTAAAATTTGTATGTCTAATGCAAAATCCATGATGTTTATATTGAAAATGATCATCATATTGTAAGAATTCCAGCAATGTAAATTATATTCTGGCCGGGTAATTTGAATGAATTTTATGAGCTAAATAAAAAATTATACTTCACCCAAGTATATGAGTAGATGCACCGCGGAAAGTGAAAGTCCGGTTCTGGCGAGGTACCACGTAAATGATTGCGTAAATGAGAGATCGCACGGAAAGTGAAACCGCGTAAAGCGGGTAATACAGTACTGTATATATATATATATATATATATATATATATATATATATATATATATATATATATATATATATATATATATATATATATATATATATATATATATATATATATATATATATATATATATATATATATATATATGTATACTATATATTTTCTCTCAAAAGAAGAGGGAACCCCCCTCTTTTACCATAGGAATGTGCCCTCAATTTTTCTGGCTTCATTTATGTCAAGTTTTTCTAGGAATGCAACCCCCAGCATAAACCTGAATAATAAGTATTATATTATATAACTCATAAGTACTGTACAGCATAGCGGCCAGGTGTAAGAGTGAGGTATCACCGACAGGTTCTTTCCACCTTCTGTCTGAGGAGTTTCCCCAGCAGGTAAAAGCAAAATGTTCACCAAAAAACCTTGTTGTGTTTAGACTATTTGACCCTAAAACATGATTAAGGTGGTGTTGTAACAATGCAGTACAGTATAACTAACTTAATATCAGCTGGGAATAATTCAAGTCATAGTGTGAAAACAAATTGTTGCTTAAAGCAACTGTAGAAGTACAGTACAGTATATGTTTACAGGTGCAGTTTTGTGAACTCTACATTAAAAAAAAAACAAATAAAAAAATAAGGCTTATAATTGACCTTATTTCTTATGGGAAAATTTGTTTCATAGTTTGACACACCACAAAGATATTCAGGATATGACCCTTATGATGAGGACTACTGTACCAGTACAGTATAACGTACCACATGTTTTGATTTAGTTATCTGGAATATGTAGTACTAAGTACTGTACTGCACTCAGTAATAACAATTTGCTAAAACAAAAGTAATAATTTTTTTGTAAAGTTAATTGTACAGTACAGTACAGTATATTGAAAATCATTAATTAATATATTGTATCTCTTGAAATACCAGGACAGTGGCGAGAATTTCTTCAGTACTGTACAGTATCAGACAACTCCAAAAACAAACATAATCTCCAAAGACAATACACAGTACAGTATCCAGCTGTCCAGCACTGCACACCTGGGTACTGTACAGTACTGTACTGGCAAACACTGCTTGGTAATACATACAGTACATTACAGTACTGTAGTGTTTTTCTAACAAAGGCTTTAAAGTAAAACTAAGAGGTACATAATTTTACAGTTTTATTGACTATGTACATACGTACAGTATATTATAATTTGTGGCTTTTTAATTATGGTACTGTACAATAACGATAAATAAATAAATAAATAAAATAGTAAATGCATGTTATTGAAAACAATAGAAAACAAAGACAGAAAATGGTAAGATATACAAGTGGAACAACCGAGTAGACAACTGACAAATATTATATAACTGGCACAGGATACAGGTACGGTAGTTCAATGCACATGCGTGGTGAGCAGACTATATAGTACAGGGTGTATAATGATAGTTACCATGATGGCCTTTTTTCTGACTAACCTAACCTAACCATTAGCAACATAGTCTGTCAATACAGCTGCCATATCTATATATAAAGTGTGAATTTTGGTGTACGGCTGCCATACCTGTATCCACTACATATATACAGGTACATACAGTAAAACAAAGGAAACGATCATAACACTCAAGTACCTATGGAGACATAACAGTACAGTTCTGTATAATCTTTAATTAACCATTTTAATGTATCATATTTGCTACTCAAAGTCCACTTAAAAATTTGAAGTGGAAAAAAATATATTTATCACAGTGATAATAAATAAAAATTATTCTCAAGCCATGAATTAGTTGTATGATCACATCTGCATACAAACATTCCTATCATGATTCATAAGTATAGTATGGTTACCAATGAGACCCATTTAATCTCAGCCAAGTAAAATTTATAGCATATCTCAATACAGACATAGGAAAAAAAATTACCTTATGTGGTGTACAGTGCTCAAGACAAGTTACCTGCCAAGCTAGTTATCAGTCTTCACAGGCTGCTTCATATTTATCATTACAGCACTAATTTAATTTTTTTACTCAGCTTCTCCAAC